AGAAATAATTAAATTTAATAAACCTGTTCCATATCAAAAAGTAGTTATTGGCTATAACTATTCCGATTTCAGAGGCTTTAAGAGTAAAAACCCCAAAATCGTTTTCATATGGAGTTAATGAAAATATAGACTTAAAAACAAAAAAACTTACAGGATATTCAATTCCTTTTGTATGTGAAAATGATATATTTATCACAATTATTGAAGCTATTGAAAAATTTTGTAGAGATAAAGTTACTGAAAATGAATCAAAGTTAAAAAAAGGTGGTATGAAAAGTCTTAATATTCACAATTTAAACATTTTAAAGTATAGAAATGATAATCCTAAGGCACCTCCAGTTATATATGCAAAAATACCAACAGATTATAAAAGTAAAAAGATGGATCAAGTATTCAGGAAAAAAAATGAAGGTGATATTTTAGGAGAAAGTCTTATTAAAAAAAGATGTGACGTTGTTGGATGCTTAGCAATTGAAGGTGTATATATCGGATCGATGATTCAATCTATTCAAGTAAAATTATTAGATGCAGTTGTATATGAAAAAGAGTATAAGATAGAAAGACTTTATATTAAAGATATTGATTTAGAAAGTGAAGATGAAGAGTAAAATATTTGTTATATAATTTAAGTATTAATTATAAATATATAAAGAATGGATATTGAAGTACATAACAATAAATCAAATATTACTACAATTCAATTTGATCCTATTATTGAACTTGATAAAACAAAAAAATATGAAATGGCATTTATAAGATTAGAAACTATTCACTACAGCGTTTCATCTCAAAATAAGTGTTTGCATATATTAAATAATATCGTAGATAGAAAAAATATAAATGGTAAGAAAACTACTGTAATGCATACATTCTTACCAATGACTCGTCCTTCAGGTATGAGTCTTGTTGAAGAACCAAATTTTAAAAGCTATTTTCCATTAAGAACAAACACACTTTCAAAAATGGCAGTTGAAATAGTGGATGACGATCGTTATGCTATAGATATGAGTAAAGAAAGATTAATAATACAATTTCATCTAAGGGAAGTAAAGCAGTAAAGTTATTCATTATAATGAATTGAAAAATAATAATACATATATAAAAATGGATATATGTATTGGAGGAGATACTTCAACAATAAGAAGAAAGTTTTTACCAGCTATTCCACTTGATGGAAAAAAAGAATATGAAATGGCATTAATAAGCTTAGAAACATATAATATACTTAATAATATTACTGCAAACAACAATAAATTTACTTATACTATTTATGATCCGAAGACTAAAGAAACATCAACAGCTAATCGTAATATTCCAGAAGGTGTCTATGAAATTTCATCAATCAATGACTGGTTGCAAAAAGAATTAGTTGCTTCTCATTTTCCTTTGAATTCAATTACTTTTGTAGGAAGTACAACTACATTTAAAGTTACAATGGGTGTTGAAACAAATTTTGCAGTTGATTTTACAATTGAAAATTCAATCAGAAATCTTTTAGGTTTTGAAAGCAAAATATATACTGCAGGTGTTTATGAATCTGTAAAAGTATTAGATATAAATCATATTAATACTATACATGTAAAAAATAGTATTATATCAGGATCTTATTTAGATAATTCACCTAGCAATATTATTTATACGTTTTACCCCTCTGTAGCTCCTGGAGCTAAACTTGTAGAAAAACCCAATGTTCCCATATACTTACCTATATCTCTAAGAGGAGATATTCGTGATATGGAAACTTCATTAATTGATCAAGATGAAAATCCAATTGATGTGCAAGGAGAAAGAATAACAATGAAATTTCATATAAGAGAACGAACTTCTAAATGCGAGCAAGAATCTATTTTAAAAGAACAAGTATCACTTCTAAAAGAATTGATAAACATTTTAAAAAATAAAAAATAGATTATTTCTTAGGCCTGAAAGACCAAACGAAGTATGAATCTCAAAAGAGATTTAAAAAAATTGTGTATATATAAAAAAATGACAGATTATAAAAATATTAAATTTAAACTTTCAGATTATCAAAAGAAGAAAATCAAGAAAGAACTTGAGAATGATTCAAAAAAAATTACTATAAAATTAACTTTTAAAAATCTAAGTGATAAAAATGCTAAAGATGTAGTAGCTCTTACACATAAACAATTAGAGAAAGTAGTCAATGCATTTAAAAATAAAAAAGGTATAATAATTGAATTAAATGAAGAAAATCTCGTGCATAATTCTAAAGTGGAAGGTGGATTTCTACCTTTACTAGGATTACTTGGAAGTTTTTTAGCTGCAAAAGTTGTTCCTACTGTTGCAACAGCATTATTACCTGGAACAGCTGCAGCTGCTGGAAGCACTATAGTTAATAAAATTGCTGGAAAAGGTGTTTTGTATATTAAAGATGATAAAAGATCTATTAAAGCTAGAAAAGTAGGAAAAGGATTACTAATAGATGAATGGAAAAAAGGAAGGTATTTAGGAAATGGGTATTACTACTATTATGGAAAAGGAACTGGAAACGATAAACAATATGAAAAAGTAGGAAAAGGTTTAATATTAGGTGAAAATTCACCATTTAAAAATATCCCATTATTAGGTTGGATTCTTTAGGTCCTGAAAGGATCTAGATATAAATATATATTTATGAAAATATATATTTCATTTAGCATAGGTTCTGAAAGAACCAAGACTTCGTTGGATCCTTTCATGATCTACCATTTAAAACAGATAAAGGAAAATAAAAACGATCAAAACCATTTCTATATTTTCCATTTTTCACATCTGATGATAAATCAATAACAATAAATTTATGTGGTTTTGACCAAACTATTTTACAAAAGTTTTTAAACTCTTCTTTTGACATATCATTTGAAACATGGTCATTATAAATATGATTTACATTTTTTGAATCTTGTTTAAACAAGCATATAAAATTTGCATTTTCTCTTATTGTTTTCCTTGGTAGTATAAAATAATTTTGCGCTAAATAGAAACAATCTACATTACTATGCCTTCCTCTTATATAGTACTTTTCACACTTGTTTTGCTTTGTTAATTGTAAATCATCGAATATCATTAAATTATTTTTAGTAAGATCAAGATCTTCAGGTTCTGGTACATCATCTGCTGTTTCATAAAACTGACACTCCATATCTATTTTATTTGTTAAATTTTTTGAATGGACTTCAATTACAAGATCAGGGCTGATATCCATCTTATCTATTTTATCTTGTAACTTAAATATTTTAAGAATATCTTCTTTTGGTACTTTTTTTTTAAAAGAACTTTTTAATATTTTGTATTCAGGTTGAAAAAGAGATTTTCCAAAAACTTGTAAATTATTATAGTCCAACCAAACAGGTCTTATAAGTAAATTTAATAATAAATTTGTTTTTCCACAACCAGACTTCCCAACTATAAGCTCTCTTATACTTCTTGGTAATAACTCATTATTATGACGATTATTTTTATTTACATTATATGACAAATCTAATACTTCCATTTTCTTATATAAATAATTTTTTTAAATTAAATAAAAATAAAGTAATAAAAAATGTATTGCGTTAAATGTAGAAACAAAACAGATACACTCAACTTACAGCATGTTGTAAGTAAAAACAATAGAAATATGCTTCGTGGAAATTGTGCACTATGTGGAACAACAAAAACTCAATTTACAAAAGGAAAAACAAGATCTGAAGGAGCTAAAAAAGGAGGTGACTTGGTAGAATCAATTAATAAATTCACAAGTAATAGAAAATTACCTTTGCAAAAGTTTCCAGGTGAAATGCATATACCAGGTATGAACTTTGCAGGACCTGGTACTAATTTAGATGAAAGATTAACTTCTACTGAGATGCCTAAAGAATGGAGTATGCCTGTAGATAGAGTTGATAAAACAGCTTATATTCATGATCTTGCTTATAAGCATTATCCAGACAAAGAGCATAGAAATTTAGCTGATAAAATGATGCTTGAACAAATGGATGCTATACCTAATCCTACACCTCGTGAAAAATTGGAAAGAAAGATTATAAAGCCTATTATATCTGCTAAAGTAAGGTTTGGTATGGGAAATAAAAAACCAATGAGTATTAAAGAATTATGTCAAAAAAACTACCAGCGCACAGGAAAAAAGCAAACGACGTGAAATGGACTGATGAACTTGCAAATGAACTTCATAAACCTGTTATAAAACATTTTAGAAAAAGAAAAGTGTTTGCAAATGGTATTGATGAAATATGGGCTGCTGATTTAGTTGACATGCAAACTTTTTCTAAATTTAATAATGGTATAAAATACTTATTAATGGTAATTGATATATTTTCAAAGTATGGATGGATAATTCCACTGAAAAGTAAAACTGGAGTTGAAGTTGCTAATGCATTCAATAAAATCTTTAAAATTAGGAAATGCGATAAATTATGGGTTGATAAAGGTTTGGAATTTTATAACAAACATGTTAAAGCATTAGGAGTTCATCTCTATTCAACTGAAAATGAAGAAAAAAGTTGCGTTGTTGAACGATGGAATAGAACAATGAAAGAAAAAATGTTTAAATACTTTTCTGCTAATTCTACTAGAAAATACATTGATGTTTTAGATGAAATGGTAAATCAATACAACAACACAAAACATTCTTCAATTAAAATGACTCCAGCTGAAGCAAGCGATAAAAAGAATGAAAATAAAATTTGGTTTAATCTAAATGGTAAAATAAAATCAAATCCTATTCAACCTAAGTTTTCAATAGGTGATAAAGTGAGAATAATTAAAAAGAAAGGAGCGTTTGAAAAAGGATATACACCAAGATGGACTGAAGAAGTATTCACAGTATCACAAGTTCAGTACACAGATCCACCTACTTATAAAATAACTGATTATAATAATGAAGAAATACAAGGTACTTTTTATGAACAAGAACTTTAAAAAACAAATCAAGAGATATTTAGAATTGAAAAGGTTATTCGTAAACAAGGTAAGAAATCATTTGTAAAGTGGTATGGGTATCCTGATACTTTTAACTCATGGGTTAATAATAAAGAATTGAAAAATTTATAATTATCTTGTATATATAAAATGCAAAACTCCAATGTAAATGTGAATATATGCGTATCAGCTACTTCTGGCAATGCTAATACAAATACTACTGTAACAGCTTCTTCATATTCTACAGCATCTACAAGCAAATAAACAAAAATTAGGCGCATGCGCACTGAGCAGAGCATAAGATCAATCTAAATATCATGTGACCTGTGACGTCACGCAATAGAAACGAAATTGATATTAATTTATAAATCTTAAAAAATGATTTAGCATTGATCACGAAGTGACCTAAAAATTTATTTCTTAGTTATATAATTTATACACACTATGAATGATAATGAATCATATATTTAATTAAATATATGATTGAAAATATGGTTGAAAATGAAAATGAGCTAAAACTCTCCTTTTATAACTACTTATATATATATATATATATATATATATATATATATATATATATATATATATATATATATATATATATATATACACTACCCCTCAAAAGTTTGGAAGCAGTTAATTTTTTTCGAAAAATTTAATATAATGTCAATATATATTGATGAAATCGATTTTTATAATATAATTACTTCATTTTTAACAAGTCAATATACTTTTGTATGTTTTTAATCGAATCTGATTTATAAAACTACTTTTATTTATGTTTAAAGATAATAGACGCTTTGAAGTCATTTTATCTAATAAACAAAACAAACACGTCTGAACCTGTCTGAACATGAAATCGGTAAAATTATGTTACTAAAGTTATTAGTAAAAATCTTTCTGTCAGTTATTTACTAGCAGACCGACAAAGTTATCTTTTTAATAACAGTGCGCTAAACCAATTATAGTCGAGTGGTGTTTTTAGACAAATTTTTATTTTTTATTTTTATAATGACAAAACGATCACAGTTAACAATTGATAAACGAAGTGCAATTTGTACACTTAGAGGTGAAGGGTATAGTGAGAGAGAAATTGCAAAAAACCTGCAAAAGGGGTTCATTATACATTAAAAAGGCAACAAGAAACCAATAGTAATCAAGACAGGAAACGTAGTGGGAGACCCAAAATTACAACAGTAAAATAAGATCAATTTATAAAATTAACTTCAAAGCGAAACCGTCGTTTAATAGCCCCCCAAATTGCAGCGAGATTAAATGAAATTCGTCTAAGTACAGTGTCAGTTTCAACAGTTAAAAGACGATTGAACTCTGCCGGTCTGCGAGGATGTGTAGCAGCTAAAAAACAAAATTAACAAAACAACATAAGAAAAACAGGTTGGCTTGGGCTAAAACTCATAAAGATTGGACACTTGAAAAATGGAAAAATGTACTTTGGACGGACGAATCGAAATTTCAAATTTTCGGTTCAAACAGAAGAGTTTTTTCCGACAATCTAAGTATAAAAGGGCTTTGCCAAAGTGTACAGTGCCATCAATTAAACATGGCGGAGGTAATGTAATGGTTTGGGGATGTTTCGGAAATAATAAGCCAGGAAATTAGTAAAAATAGATGGCAAACTTAACAAAGAAGGATATTTACAAATTTTGCAGGACCACGCTTTGCTTTCTGGAAATGAAATTATTGGATCAAAATTTCATATTTCAACAGGATGATCCGAAACATGCTTCAAAATTGTGTATGTCCTATTTAAATGAGAAAAACAAGAAAAACTTATAGAAATTATGATATGGCTATCCCAATCACCTGATTTGTCACCAATCGAGCTAGTTTGGGACGACTTGGATAGAAGGGTTAAAAATAGATCTCCAAGTAGTGCTAGGCACATGTGGAAATACCTACAAACAGAATGGTAAATCAATAATAATAAATCCTAGCAAATCAATAATGGAAAATGCGGAGTTAACCGAAAAAGAGTTATTAGATGCTGTTCTTTCATTAAAATTAAACAAATCACAAGGAGTTGATAACATTAGCAGTAATGTCATAATTAAATGTATCTTCTATATTAAAAAAATCCTTTTGCATATATTTAATCTTTCGTTTAAACAAGGAATCTTTCCAAAAAAACTTAAAATTGCAAGGGTAATACCAGTTTTTAAATCTGGAGATAATACTAATATTTCTAATTATAGACCTATTTCCATTCTTCCTTGCTTCTCAAAAATACTAGAACGCATTATGTATAACAAATTATATTCATATTTAGAAAAAAATAATATTCTATATAACAAACAATATGGCTTCAAAACAGGACACTCTACTGATCATGCAATTCTTCATCTTGTTCAGATTATTTTTCAAGCTTTTGATAAAAACAAGTTTACTTTAGGTGTTTTCATAGATCTAAGTAAGGCGTTCGACACAGTTGATCATAGTATTTTAATTAAAAAATTAGAGAACTACGGTATCAAAAATATTAACATAGCTTGGTTTAAAAGCTCTTATCTAATAGAAAACAGTATATTTCATTCGGCAATAAAAAAACTAACAATATGCCAATTACTTGCGGCGTTCCTCAAGGATCTATATTAGGACCACTCTTATTTTTAATTTATATTAATGATTTAAGCAAAGCCTCTAATATTCTAGATTCTATCTTATTTGCTGATGACACAAATTTATTTTATTCTCATAGTGATATAACAGCATTATTTAAAACGGTCAACATTGAACTCCTAAAACTAACCGAATGGTTAAATATGAACAAACTTTCAATTAATTTAACTAAAACTAAATATACTATTTTTCATCGCCTCCATAAAAAAGAAAAAATTCCTCTTGAACTTCCAAAACTTATTATTGGAGATTACATCGTAAAAAGAGAATGTTCGATGAAATCTTTAGGTGTAATTCTAGATGAAAACATAAATTGGAAAGACCACATAAACATGATTGAAAATAAAATTTCTAAAAATATTGGATTACTCTATAAACAAAACCATTCTTAGATCAATCCTGCTTGAAATACATATATTACTCATTTATACATTCTTATCTTAATTATGCAAACATTGCTTGGTGTAGCACCAATAAAACAAAGATAAAAAAGCTATTTAGCAAACAAAAACATGCAATTAGATTATTATCAAATGCACACCGCCTCTCACATTCAAGACCATTGTTTAACAATCTAAAAATACTAAATGTGTACCAAATAAATATATATCATCTTCTGATTTTTATGTATAAAATTAATAACAATTCAATACCAAATATCTTCAAACCATTATTTAATAAAATTCAACACAAATACGTAACTAAATATTCTAACAACAACTTTGTTCAACCCAAAACTATATACGACTCCACCAAGTTTTCAATAACTGTTAGAGGACCTAATGCATGGAATAAGATAATCAGTAATGATATTAAAACACTTAAAACTCTTGATCAGTTTAAAAAAAAATTTAAAACTATTACTTTTAAATAATGAACAAACAGATAATTATATTTAAATCTATCTATAAAAATATTATATTTTAAAACTATCTACTAATGCATACTTTATTTGTCTGGAAGGTCTAAATTCTTTAATTTTATATAGGTATTACAGTCTGTTATATTATAAAAAAAGTACTTATAAAGATTTTTAGCATTTTTAGATTTCATTAGTTTAAATAAATTTATTAGTTTTCTTAAATAAGAGAGAGAGAGGAAAAATAAAAAAAGTAATCTTTTTTGAGTTTTAATTTTTTATATTAATTTTTTGTAATTTATTTTTGAGGAATTAATATATTACACTTTATAAGAACAGATTGTAAATTAAATTTTACGTTTACTTTTTTCATGTTTTTTAGTTTTTTGATATTTTTGTTTTTCTGAATGAACTTTTAAATTTTTCTTTCAAAAAATAAAAACCGAAAAAATATTTTTCAAAACTTTGAACTATTAAACTATTTGGCATTTTATATAAACTTCTTTGTAATATTTTGCTTTTTTCTTAATTTTTTAATTTTCATTTTAGTTACCATGTATTTATATAAATGTCTAGACAAACAAGGGACTTGGTGATAAGACAACCCCGTCTTCTTCTCGTCCTTGCCATTTTTAAATATTTTAAATTACGGAACTTGTAAATATTTGTACGGCTAAATTATAAAAAAAAATAAAAAAAAAAAAAAAAAAAAAAAAAAAATGGTACTCATTAGATTGTGAATATTTTACTAAATTAATAAACAGAATGCCCCAAATTTGCGCAGCTGTGATTAAAAATAAAGGTGGACATTTTGATGAATCAAAAATATAAATAATATTGACAGATAGTTGGTTATATATATAAGATATTGACAGACAGATGTTGATTATAGTTGGTACAAGTTTAATTTAAAGTGTAATTGTTAGTTACATTGTGAATAAAGGTATGAAATTATTTTTTATTTATGTTTTTGTAAAAAAACCCAACTGCTTCCAAACTTTTGAGCGGTAGAGTATATATATATAGCGTTTATATATATAGCGGTATATATATATAGCGGTATATATATATATATATATATATATATATATATATATATATATATATATATATATATATAGGGGAAAGCGGGGCAACATGGCGAACGTTTGGAAAGCCCTGAGTTATGGCAAAACTATCAGTCGTGAAGCAATAATTCTTTCTGAGTATGTTTATGTTATTAAAATGATTCATCGCCTGCATGAATTTTTTGTTTGCAAATATAGCAATTTGAAATAAATATAAAAATAAAAACTTCATAAATTTGTCATCTGGTCACGTGACCGGGGCAAGATGACTTATTATGCAATTTTAACCTCCAATTTTATAAAATTTTAAAAATTATCAATAACTCTAACTAAAGTAACAAAAAATAAGCACAAATCGCCGAAAACCACTTCTAAAGAAGTTAAACTTGAAGGACAGCATCCATTATGAGAAACCGAAAGTGAGGAATTTTTTTTTTAAGCGCAAAAAGTAAACTTATGCGTATAAAACTGCGTTAATAATATTTTTAAAAACCAATTAGTGTTTTAAAATACAAGATGCAAATATAGTTTCGTTTTTACCCAATTTTGAGATTTTTTGCTTAGGTGTTAAATGAAAACCCATCTTGCCCCATTCGCCATGTTGCTCCGCTTTTCTTCTACTTGGACTAAGGAAACTTTTTTTTTGAAACAAAAATTAAATGTTTTATCATAAAATAGTATTTTTTGAAAGCGCTGCACAAATCATGATGATGTCATTAAGACTGTAAAGAAATGATATAGGAAATTCTTGTCAAATTATTTAAAAAGTTGTCATACTTCTAACTAGTTGTTTTAACTACTTCTTCAGGTGTCATAGCCATAGCCTTTTTCTTTGTCTAAGGTGTCATAGCCAATCTTTTCTTTGTCTAAAAAGTAAGCAAATGATTTAAATTATTTTTTGTCAGTATTTATTGTACTATTTCTAATTAGAGGTCTAGAGCTAGGGCACAACTTTATGTAAAGAGCAACTTTATTTTTAGAATGGTATCAAAGGTTTTCATTGGGATAAAGATTTTGTAATGCGGGCTCTTTGTCTTTAAAATGATTGGCGCAAAATAATGCTTTTTTTTTTGGACAGAAAAAAGCAGTTGTTCCAGGTGTTTTTAAGCGGTTAACAAGTTTGATCCAATATTCACGATGAAAGGAAGATTTATTTATAGTTGGAAAAAGAAGTAGTACAAAAATTATGTGCAATTACAATTGAATATTTTAAAATAATTACAATTACTTCTTTTTTGCATTTATATTCTGTTCATATTAATATGCATAATATTCAATACGCTATATAAAATATATTTCATAATATCATTTTATAACGGTAATATAAAATATATTTCATAATATCATTTTATAAGTCTGTAACTTCGATTTGAGCAACTTTTTACGAGACAATGATGATGTCATTGATGATATTATTGCACCAATATTTTTTTAAACTAAAGCAAGAATGATAAAAGTTAAATTTCAAAAAGTTTTAATTTCAAAATAATTATTTCAGTTTAAAAAAATCTATTCAAAAATTAAGTCCTTCATGAAATGTACCATTTTTGATGTTTGTTTGCTCAAAATTTTTTTGAGTTTTTTGGGAATTTCAAAAACCGTGTATGTTTTAGCAAGGAGCTTAGCTGGAGGGAAACGAAGTTAAAATACCTCATTTCTCAAAGAACAGTCTTAGTAGTAACATAATTTTCTATTAAACATCTCGGAATTATCATAATTTAAAGTTAACCAATCACATTCTTATTTTAACAAAAGCTGTCCGATGATATTGTTTCAAAACGTCCTAAGCAATTAAAGCATTGCAAATAAAAAAATTGAAGTTTAAAAAATTTGTAAACAATATTTAAAGTCATGACTTTAAATATCTAAAATTGATCTAATGAATCTAAAAATTTATTATTAGTCGTTCAAAAAGCACAACAAAAAAAAAATAACAACAAACTGCAGGTTTTTTTTGGTTTTTTTTTTATTGTTGTGCTTTTTGAACGATTAATAATAAATTTTTAGATTTAAATAATAAATTTATAGATTAGAATTAAAGTAATAAATGTCTTGATAAGTATTGGTAGCATTTTTGCCATGTATTTTATATCTCTATATTTAGAATAAAACAATTTGCTTTTAAATCCAGCAAAAATACCCCAACACAAAATAAAATTCTGTAGGGATTTAATAAGTTCCTGGCCGAAAGAACAGTCTTAAAGAACGTAACTAACCTATAGCTGAACAGGCGAGCAAAAAATAAGGTTCAAATAGGTAGTAGAGGTTGTCAAAAACAATTGGGGTACGCAAGAAACAATTACTTCATCTTAATCGTGATTTTTGTTTTAATTAACTTCTTGGTTGATCAAATAGTTGTTAAAAACATATCCAACAAACTTTAATTTTATTAATCCATTTTGATTACAGCTCTCAAAGCTTACTGATTACATATCAAAGTTTTTTATTTTTTTACAAAAACGCCGTTTTGGCTTGCTTCTGTTATAATTGCTTTGACTTGCTTCTACAAAGACTGCAACGCGATTTAAATTCATTATCAGCTTTGTTCTCCTTCTAGCTAAGCTATTATTTCTCCTTGGTTTTAGCATGTTTTGTAAAAAATATTAATTTCGATAATCGAGATTTTAATTATAAGCTGAAGATAAATAGACTTTTTTTTGTTGTCATTTTAAAAGCGTTAGTAATTACTAAATTGAAATAAGATTTAATTGAAAAATCCCACCCCCTTTCCAGTGACGAATCCAGGATTTTTCGGTGTTCGAGATTGCTAACTTCCAGGCATGGAGCAAACTCCAAACATTTGTATGTTTTTAATCATATCAAATAATGAGGTTTTGCAAAATATTGCGAGGATTGGAGGCTGGGAACAAAAAAACTCTTCGACTTTATTCCCCCACCCTAAACGTGAGAGGCAACAAGTTGATAAAATTATTTTTGTAATATTCTCGACTAAACTTATATTCATCAACAAATTTTAAGTTTCATAGTATTATTTTTTAGCGTTCAAAAATTATTGAATATATAAAGTTTAAACCCCCCTCAATTTGAGGGGGTTACAAATTTTATATGGTCGTTATTTTTGAACGCTAAGAGATAATACTATGAAACTTAAAAATTATCGATAAGTCTAGTTGAAAATAGTACAAAAACAATTTTATCAACTTGTTGCCTGTCAAAGAGCTTTTTCGTTCCCAGCCTCCAATTGAAGCGCTAAGTGATAAAAGTACATAAGTCACAAAAAAAATGTTTTGAGAAAATCTACTTTGATCAGCCATTTTAAATCGTTACATTAAAGTGTTATATCTATGATCAAAGTAGATTTTCTCCAAACATTTTTTGTGTGACTTAAGTACTTTTAGCACTAAGCTCTTCAATTATCGCAATTTATTGCAAAACTTCATTATTTGACATGAGTATAAATATGTATGTCGTAAATAATATATTTTATAAACTTTTATTAAATTTTTTGTTTCATATTTTTTTATTTAACTTTTTAGAAAGAAAATTCATTTAAAAAAAGTCTTGACTTAAACAAACTCCTTTGTACAAATATAAAATATTTTTCAAAGCAGAAGAACTTTTTTATGTTTTTTTTGAGTTTTATGTTTTTATGTTTTTTATGTTTTTAAGTTACTTTTAAATATGCAATATGCAAAATGCGTTTTTTACTTTGTTAGTTTACTTACTTAGAATGCGACTCAACTAACTTGTATATAATCAGATATTCAAATTGCAAATTCTGTGACAAAATAAAACTAAAAGGCAACTTACTTTTAAACAATTCAGCCGCTAAAAAATAAACTGTACTCACAAATTAGGGCCGACGACACAGGTTTCGAAGTGTGTATGTGTGTGTGGGGGGGGGAGGGGGAGGGGGAGCACGATTGTCAATTCTTAAAAAAAGTCTTGTAAGCAAAAGCTGGTACCTCTCCCCCACATGTCATTGGCCCAGCAAATAGAAACAAACCTTCGATATTATTGATGTTTTTACCGATATCTTTACATTATTATTGTTTTCCTCTTTAGAAATAATAAAATCAAGATTATTTAAAAGACAGACATATAGCAAACAGAAATGCTAATAAAGCAGAAAAGCTAAATAAAACAGAAAATTTAAAAAAGACAAACTTAAAAAATCCAATAAAAACTTCCTTGGTTGCTGTAAAATCTTTTTCGCTTTTAAAAAGTTAAAAAAGTTTATTGGAAGTTTACTTGATTCACGTGTGATTAAAACAATAATTTATTTTAGCCCTTTTTTAACTATAATATGCCACCCTCCCCTAACCGCATGAATCAAAGTCTCCTACCCCAGAAGTTTAAAAAAAATTGAAATAAAAGCTAAAAAAAGCATATATAAACAACATTGATGACAAAAAAAATAAAATAAATGTAAAGCAAAACTTAAAACTAAAATATACGCGTTTTAGAAAAAAAAGCACTCACACAGATCGCTGAAAGTGTGGTCTTTATCAAATTACGGTCTTTCTCCAACAACATGCGTAGTTTAGAAAAAAATTTATATCACAGAAAAAAGAAAAATGACGTCAACATTCATGGACGTTAAACGTTCATTGAAAAAACAGCGCGTAGTTTAGAAAAAGAATAGTTTTTAGAAATTTTACAAAATTGTAACTAACTCAGTAACTAACGGCATAAAGTATTGGCTGGACAAATAATAGATAAGATAATAAGATAAAGATAATAATTTTAAATCATGTATTGGATCGTCAATGAGTTACGTCACGCTTTAGGGGGATTACTGGTTTTGTGACGACTCATACTGAAATTGTTACTAATGAATTCGATTTTGTGACGAGGGGGGAGGGGTTAAGAACGATCAAAAGTTGCGTGACGTAGTTTATGGACAACCCCTGACTGATTTTTACCGTCATTTTATCCATTGACGGTAAATATTATACCTATTTTGAAAACAGTATTTACTCGGAACAACATTTTGCTAACATTTTATTTATTTTGTTATTTTTTTGTAACGTGACTTATTTTATTTTAAAATTTTAAAATTAATTTTGATTTTAAATATGACATTCTGAAAGATATAACATTATTGAAGAAATGAATGCGAAACTATTGGATTCTCCAGTGAAGACAACTTTTTTACCTCCGCTTCATAGTATTTTTCTTTGTTTTAATCATTTTTTGAATATAATATAAGATAAGATAAATAAGTAATATTTTGTTTTAAAGTATATAAAGGGTAATTGCGCAATATATCAATAAAATAAAAATTGATAATAAAAAATATAATTTTATGATATTGGTAAATAAACTAATATTTTTAAGTAATAATAAGAATTTGTATACTTTAAGTATAAGACTATGTAATTTATATAGTTTTATACTTATATTATAAGTATAAAACTATATAAGTACACAAACTTATAATATAAGATGGAGTATAAATTTATTAGAACACTATACACATGTACACATATATATGTATATATATATATATATATATATATATATATATATATATATATATATATATATATATATATATATATATATACATATACACAAGCGCATTAAAACACACACATTTATATGGAAAAAAAAATTGTGCTTCGTGCTAATTAACAGTATGCAATAAAAATAGTAAAGATCAGCAACAAATTTAACTTTTGTTTTAGTTTTATATTGTTAATAAAGGTTAGTATAGTCTTATATAAAAAATCTGACTGTTTTGAACATAGATCATAACAGAACAAAACAATAATCAATGCATATACTTTAATTCATATACTTAAATTCCAAAATAAGTAGACCCCATTTTTAGTCAAAAGCTCGTCCATTGGCCCTTACTTTATTTTCAGCTTTTCAATTCATCTTGCATTTCAATTTCAAATTCAACATTTCAATTTCAACATTTCAATTTCATCTTGCATGCAATGTTGTAAATAGTATATACTCAGTATAATACTGATGTTTTTTCAAGTCAAATTCTAATGTTTTCTGTAGAGATAACACTTTATTCATATTTTCTTTCTATCTATATTACATAACAAGTTCTATGGTCTAAATAATCATTAACAAAATTTTCCTAATATAGTGCTTTAATTTTCAGAGAAAAGTATTTAACTTAAGTTAAGTTACTTAATTATATAAACTTATATAAAAAGCCTTATTTTTAAATCAAAAATGCAGGTTTAGTGTTAAAACCTTAAGGTGACATATTTTCCTGGTAAGGCTACACTAGTATTACAAAGGGAATTCAGTTACTTGTAAAAAAATTGGTGTTAGTCCACAAAGCAACCAATTTTTATTGAGTCATTACTTTAAAATTTAAATATTAAATGTGTGTGTATATATATATATATATATATATGTATATATATATATATATATATATATATATATATATATATATATATATATATATATATATATATATATATATAAACCAGGGGCGGATCCAGTTTGTTTCATGTTTGGAAGTTAATTATCTCAAGTAACAAAAAAATCTGGATCTGCCCCTGATATATATATATATATATATATAATTACTAGCATAGTTTGTACCATTAATGCACCTGTAACAACAACTGAACATATGTATATTTTGACCGTTAAGGCATCTAAGCGAATCTTAACACAATCTTGATATTTTTTATATCTTTATATTTTTGTATTTTATTTTGTAAATAATTAAATAAAACAGAACAAGTACAAACCAAAAATTAGTTTTGAAAACAATGTTTTCAAAGTTATCTTTACTTTATTAAAAAAAAAAGAAAAAAAAAAATTTTTTTCGAGAAAATAAGTAGAGCTTCTGGTTGTTTGCCCTGGAAACAATTTTAACACATGTTCATTAGGACTACACAAATGCTGGGATTTTTAGAGTTCCAGTTTGTCTGGAAGATGGGGAAAAATCTATCACAAGATTCCACTACAATAAAGTTGGACACTTGCCCCAGTTCCCCATAATGTCTTGGGCCCTGAAAGCAATTATAACATGCACAATTATTGGCAACACAAAAATGTTAAAATTTTCAGAACTCTAACTAGTCTGGAAGGTAGTAAAAAATAAATTGCAATATTCCATTACAAAAATGTGGGAACCATGCCCCATTATCCAACCCTCAGAATTAGGAAAAATAAAGTCGGCAATAATTTGGTGACCTCGATCTTTTAGAGGTTGGCATCAGATCGGTAAAAATTATTTGATACAAAGGTCTGACCATAAAACATAAAAATGAGGTCAGCCAATTTTTGCTGACCTAAAACACTTTCAGATCGGCAGTTAGGTCGGCATTTCTGAATGCCGACCCTAATTCGGAGGGTTGATTATCCATATATGGAAATCCATATACTTGCAGATCAAAATCTTTACATTTTTTAAATAATCAATGAATATAGAATGATGTGTAATATATATTTTTTGATATCATCAAGGCCACATGGGTTTTTTGAGCAGTAAAAACAGGTATATAAAAATTGTCTATTTTTATTTAAATTGATATTTACAGGTAATTAATAATTTTTTACACTTTTGATTATTTCATTGGAATTGTCACTTACAAAAATAGCCAGTTACAAGTTTTTAAGTAAAAAAAATCAAATATTTTAAAAGTTATGTGACTTGAAACCTTTAGATAAACGTTGTTTTTTGAGGGGACAAGAAGGGCCTGGCCAGTATCTGCTAAAAGTAAAAACTGTCATATTTCAGGATCTTCTTCGAGTCAGAGGCTAAAAATTTCATAGAATTCTTATTTTACTAATCTTATTTTACTAATTTACTCAACTGTATAAAAATCAGCAAAATCTGAGTTGTATGGTGACATGACCTGGGTGACATGGAATTACCCCTTAATCCTTTTTTAAATTTCTAGAAACACCATTTACTAATCATATCATTGCATACAAAAAATATGAAAATAATATTTTGAAGATATTTTGCATTAACATTTCTTATTATATTTTACAATAGTTTAAACTAATGTTGTTATTGACTTTGACTAAATCGACTAAAAGTCGACTAGTCGAAAGTCCAAATTAGTTGACTTTGAAAATTTGAATAGTTGATTTAATTGACTATGGACTTCCTACTAATCGATTAAAAGTTGATTTAGTTGAGTAAAAATCTTAAAATCCTTTCATTTAACTTAACTTTTCAATCTTAAGTTTTTGTTTGCTTATTTAATAACTATAGTATGTACTATTATTACTATTACCTAATTTTTTTGTTTACACTTTCTGGGTTGCTCCAAGCTGGCTTGGGGCCCTAGTGCAAAACTAAATTGTGAAGCTCCAAAATCTAAATGTCATCTCAGGGCGCGACAAATCAACGAACATGCAAACATTTGTTTAAAAAAAAAAGACAGAAAAACAAATGTCGCGTTTCTTTAATTTTACTTAAGTAAGCGTTGGCATTCGCTCATAATTTTTTTAAACAAACGCATAACTTCAGCAATTTTTTTTCCAAATAATTATACAATTAATAGTTTTTTATTTATAATAAAAAAAACATTTAGTTACTAAAATTTAAATGCCTTGAAAAGAAATCAAGCTAAAACAGGATTACTTTTATTAATAGTGTTACTTTAAAGTTAAATAACAAAAACGCTATTATAGGAAAAAATGTTTGATAAAAATTTGTTTGCGTGATTTATACACGCGTTTACAAAAGCCTATAAAATTTTACTTAAAATGAATGCATTTGTTATTATTTACAACCATGCTAAAACATTGCTTTATTTAATAGCGTGCCTTTTTATTTAAATTTTCTTATTATCGTTTAAATGAAGTAATGTTCGTTTGCGTACTAAAAACACTTTTGAAAGTTTTGAATATAGTTATTTAGTTTTGCTGAAATATATCTAATAGAATATAAAGAATTATTTGTATATATATCTAATAGAATATATAAAATTATTTTGTTTATTATAGTTTAATTTATTATTATAGTAATAATATGACATTTTTAATATTAAATACTGATATATTTATAATAATATAATAATATCCTATTATATATTTAATAATAAACTAATATATAATAACTTATTAAATACTTAATATGATATTATTTTTAAAGGTTTAAAAAATTTTATTTTCAGTTCCCTTTAATTTTTCCTTTTATTTTCCTCATGTTAATACATTTTTTTATAGGTAAATAAATTTAACAAACTAAATTAAGAAAAAAACATTAATATATAACTGTTTACAATCATTAAGTTATTGCATAATAATAAGTTATTGCAAAATATTAAGTTATTGCATAATATTAAGTTATTGCATAATATTAAGTTATTGCATAATATTAATACAATCATCAAGTTATTGCATAATATTAAGGCTGTTTTGCACAAGATAAGATTTTTTCATCGATAAGCATGCTTGCTTTGCATTACTAAAAGATTTTTGAGATTTAATCTCTCAATTATGCCAATTTTTCACACAGCCTTAATTATTTCATACTACCTTACTATTTCTGTATGTTTTTAATCTGATTAAAAACATACAGGAATGTGAAAAAAACATACCTGTGTGTGGTACAAAAAATCTAAATGTGAAGAAAGCCTATGAGGTAGATAAGCATATATACTCATACATGAACAAACCAACATATGAGTGTATATAAACATATCTGCATGCATTACTTAGACATATTCATATAGGGACAATATATACTTATTACATTAAAATTATACAAATAAATTTTACAAACAGATAACAATTTAGGGTTCGGACTATTGTAATTGTAATTGTAAAAATTAAATTCAATAACACATACAATACAATAATACTGTATTGTAATACCAGAAATGTAAGTAAAACATTATTTATGGTTATTGTATTGTTGTGATGTAAAACAGTTACAATAACTATTGTATTGTATTGCTGGGATAAAAAGCAATTACAATAAGTACTGTTGTGTATTGTATTACTATTATAAAGTCCAATAGCTATTGTATTTTAAAGTATTTAGATTCTTTTTCCGCGCATTTTTTATTATTTGGGCACTTGAAAATTCAGAGGTGCAAGTGACGCTTGTTTTTAGCAGTCATTTATATATATAAATTTTATTTATTTTGAGAAGTGAAATGAAGCAAGGAAAGCCATAGAAGTATATACGTTAAGTTTACTTAATAAATGTTAAGTTCAGGGGCGCTCATGGCACTAGTTTCTAGCAACCATTTACATATATAAATTTTATTTATTTTGAGTTCAATAATATATCTGTTTAAATAATAATTTATTTAGAATTAACATTAATAATATTCATTTAAAATCATTCAAATACCTAATTTATCATATGCTTGTAATTAAATAACTATTTACTTTGTGAAGTGAAATTTTTTATTTTTTTATAGTTTTGTTTAAACTGATATTGAAATGTTTCACCGGATGATGACGTCTAGACTAATTGTTTAACTACATAAAGTGTGTGAAAATAATTTTTTTTTTCAATATAATTAACTGCTAATGTGTAATAAAATACAGTGTTATAGAATCAGAACCATTGTCTCGGGTAATTATTGGTTAGATTGTCTAAAAATGTAAACTACTTTTATTTTGTAAAAAAATTTTCTACATTTTCAGATTTTCATCACCTACAAGACCATACCAGTAAAATTTTGGAGGAGTCATTTTTGAAAAATGAGGCAGTTTAGAATACAAAATAAGTATTGTTCTTGATTTAAGAAACAAAATTCTTGTATAACTTTGCAACTAGATGTCTAGTTATTTTATAAAACACATACAGCCATAAAAGCCTCAGGGAAACAAAAGTAAGTGTTAGTTTAGTAAAACAATTCGAAACAATTGGATAGGTGTTTAATGTAAAAGCAAATAACTAAGTAGAATTCTTCTGCTAAGAAGCAGAAGCGCATATATTTACAATAGTCCTAACCCTATAACAAATTATATTTTTGCTTTCCTCTCTAAAAAACAAATAAATTCTTTTACAAAGAAAATCATTCTTTTAAATGTCAACTTAATACTGTTTTTTTTTGTTTTTTTTTTGTTTTTTTGCTTTGCCTTATCTAATTTTGTTGCTGAAAATAACAACCACCTTTAAGAAACGAAAATAAAAACAGTACACAATTTATTTAAAATAATAATTTTTTTTTTCTTTTTTCTATTTAATTTTTTTTAATTTCTTATTTTTTAGTTTTGCTTTCTTTGTTTTTTTCCTGCAAAGTATAGAAATGCTTAATATAATAAAACTTGCAAATGGCCATGGCCAAGTTGTCTAAATAAGTTATTTGCTTAATGTGCAAAAAAAGACAAATAAAATTATGATATGATAATACTTATCAAACATGCAAGAACTTTTAGCCTTAATGGAAGCCTAGGTCAAGGACTAGCAACTCTGTATATTATTAAAATTATTTTAATTTTCTAAAAAGAAGTTAGTTATTAATTTAATTTTCTAGAAAGATAGTTAAGACTAATAAGGAAATATATATTTTTTTTAATTTTAATTAAAGTTTCCTATATTTTTTTTGATTAGGGAGTTTTTCTAAAATGTTTTCACTCAAATATCTTTCTCTTGGTGTTCTTATCTTCCAAAATTCAATACTTGTTCTGCTTCTGCGATACACTAGAACTGCCATATCTCCAGGTGAGCTAGTTTACTTAGCTTCAACTGCTGTATTGTTGGCTGAGATATTAAAGATTGTTATATGTATATTCTTCTTGTTGAGAGATGCATTTTGGAACATAAAAAGATTTCTTTATTCTGTACACTCTGAAGCAATAGTTAACTGGAAAGACAGTTTGAAACTACTTGTTCCTGCTGCATTGTATGTTATTCAAAATAACTTACTATATCTTGCAATAACAAACTTAGATGCTGCAACTTATCAGGTTTAAAACTTTTGTGTATATCAGAAAATTATATATATATATATATATATATATATATATATATATATATATATATATATATATATATATATATATATATATATATATATATATATATTTATCAGAAAATTATAATATGAGGTACACAATGTTTTAGAAACTAGTTTATGAGATAATGAGCAGAAATGAAAGTTACCTCATTAATATCCAAAAATCTTTTTTGTTGTTTTTGGATTAATAATCGCTTTATAAATAATCGCTATAAAAAAATTTTATTTCTATTTTCATTTGATGTGTGTTTGTATTTTTCTAAAGTTATAGAAAAGGTACTAAATCTTCGTACTAAATAAAAAATGTAGTAGTAGTACATTTTTGTTTATAAAAGTGTCCATAAAACGTAAGGTGACATTTTTTTAAATTAATATTCTTAAACCTGAGTAGCAATTTTATTTGAGTAACAAGTGAAGGTTGTAAACAAGTTTTTTAGAGGTTTGAAAGTACCAAAAAAAAATCCCAAAACATGGTTTCGTCTGAAGGTTGGCTAGAAAATCTATAACTCTGCCATTTACGATGATATCAAGATGATTTTATTTTCATATTGTAGTTTTTTTATTTTTCTTTCCTCTATTCAGGTTCGGTGATAACTCCATTTTTAAATCTTGGTACCTTTTGGCATTGTGTGCCTCATTTACAGAAAATGTTAAAATAATTTTATTCAAATTAATTAAATTTTATTTTAATTAAAATTATAATTAAGATTTACAAATTACTTATCAGTGGGCACAATACATGTTTTACACGTCTTGTGCCCACTGGGTTATCAGGTTTTTTAGTTATATTTTGTTTAATTTGTCTGATTTAAAGGTTTTTCATAAGGGTAAAAATAAAAATGATATTTTTGTTCAAATTTAAATTATAAATATTTTTTTAGCTTGTGTAATGCATTGTAAATATTAAATATGTGATGCTATAATTCTTTACTTGTTCCAGGTTACATATCAACTTAAAATTCTTACCACTGCAGTATTTTCAGTTTTGTTACTCAATAGTAAATTAAATGTGATGAAGTGGTTTTCCTTAGTAATTTTGATGTTAGGAGTGGTTATTGTTCAGGTTTATGTATTTTTGTTTGTTTTGATTTATTTTGTGTCAATTAAAATTTTCATAAAAAATAGCTTTTTTTTTTTTTTTTTTTTCATAGAGTGCAAAATCAACTTCCAGCAACTCAGTTCATTCAGGATCACAATTTATTGGTTTATTTGCAGTGCTGTCCGCATGCATCTCAAGTGGATTTTCTGGAGTTTATTTTGAAAAAATTTTAAAAGGAAGTTCAACATCATTATGGATGAGAAACTTACAATTAGGTATGTTTTTTTGCTCATTCTGTTGATTAAATTACACTGTAAGTATATATATATATATATATATATATATATATATATATATATATATATATATATATATATATATATATATATATATATATATATATATATATATATATATATATATATATATATATATATATATATATATATATATATATATATATAACCCTCGGAATTTGGAAAAATGAGGTCGGCAATAATTTGCCGACCTCAATCCTTTTGAAGTCGGCATTAGGTCGGCAAAAATTGTTTGATACAAAGGTCTGACTATAAAACATAGAAACAAGGTCAGCAAATTTCTGCAGACCTTAAACACTTTTAGATTGGCAGTTAGGTTGGCATTGCTGAATGCCGAGACTAAATCCGAGGGTTGTATATATATATATATATATATATATATATATATATATATATATATATATATATATATATATATATATATATATATATATATATATATATATATATATATATATACCAGCTATTTTAGACTGTTTTCAACTGCGTCAACCGTATTTGGGCACCGATTTGGGCGCCTCCCAAATTGAAATTTGAGGACCTTTTTTTATCTTTTTTTTATCTTTTTTATGGCAAATATTTTTTTTTTTTTGTTGCTGAGATGGATTTTTATTTCTCTGGATGGAGGGGTATTGCCGCCCAAATTTTTTTCCTAGAATAGGCCCAGTATTTATATATATATATATATATATATATATATATATATATATATATATATATATATATATATATATATATATATATATATATATATATTTATATATATATATATATATCTTTTTTATTTTTTTATTTTTTATTTGCATTCACTCCCAACAAGGCTGCAAGCAACCACTATTAAGTTGGGAGTTACTAGGAAAAAAAAAGAACAGAGTTATAGAGCAAGGAAACGGTTGACAGAAGACTTGAAAAGTTGAAGGTTGTATCAGTCAGGAAAACATGAAGATGGAAGAGAGTTCCAAAGGAGTGAAGTGCGGGGAAAAAAACTAGATAAATAAAAGTTTTTAGAACATGCAGGGACAGATACAGTAAACAAATGAAACTTAGCTGAATGACGAGTAAAACGAGAATGAATTTTAGTTAATGGAACTAGAGATGATAACTCCTTTGAGCAGTGACCATGATAGTATTTGTAGAAAAGAGAAAGAGATGCAACTTTATGACGATGGGAAAGAGGTTCAAGCTTAGCAGATCCAGGTCCAACAACATTTACAATGCGTTTTTGGACCTTGTCAAGAAGAGAGAGTGAATCGTTAGAAGAACCAGCCCAAATATGACAACAGTATTCCATACAGGGACGAATAAGAGATTTGTAGTGATAGAGAATGGAATCAGAAGTAAGGAAATGGCGAGCACGATAAAGAGAAGCAACCTTAGCAGAAGCTAATTTAGCAATCGATTGTATATATGGTTTCCATGAAAGGTCAGTAGTAAGCGATAATCCAAGAAGACGTAAAGAGGACGACTCAGTAAGAGGATTGCCATTCATTAATATAGGAATGTTGACCATATTACGGTAGTTGTTTGCAGTAAGCAATTGGGTTTTTTTAGAGTTGAAATTCACAAGCCACTGTGAACCCCAATCTATTACTGAAGTGAGATCAGATTCAAGATCAGCTGCTAGGCGATCGAAAAGAGAAGACTTTTTGTCAAGACAGGAGTATAAAGTTGAGTCATCAGCAAAAAGAGCTACTTTAGATGAAAGGTTGTCAGGAAGATCGTTTATGTAGATAAGAAACAAAACAGGGCCCAGGATGGAACCTTGGGGAACCCCAGAAGTTACTGGAAATAAAGAAGAGTGTTGGCCTTCAAGGATGACTTTAATAAACCGGTTAGAAAAAAATGATTTGATAATCTCAAAAACTTTCCCAGAAACACCATATGAAGCAAGCTTATGGAGAAGACCAGCATGCCAAACTTTGTTGAAAGCTTTAGATATGTCGAGAGCAATAGCCCTAGCCTCACCACCTCCATCTAATGCACGATAAAATCTTTCAGTTACAGCAGTTAGCAAGTCGGCCGTAGAGCGAGAGGATCGAAAACCGTATTGATTGTCTGACAGCAGTTTATTTGACTCAAGATGAGATGTAAGGAATTTGTTGATTAAAGACTCAAAGACCTTGCTAATAACAGAAAGAAGACTGATCGGACGATAATTGGAGGGGTCAGAATTTTCTCCAGAGTTTTTGAATGTTGGAACCACAGATGCCATTTTCCAACAAGCAGGAAAACAAGACACAGTCAAACACTTGTTAAATAGTTTAGAGAGAATTGAAGAAAGTTCTGGAGAACAATTCTGCAAGACTGTGACAGGAATGTTGTCTGGACCACAAGCTGTAGACGAGTTTAATTGAGATATGACTTTAGCAACAGAAGCCGGAGTGATTTGAATGTCTAACAATGGGTCAACCTGTTTGACTGGAATGGAAGGAAGAGAATGTCCATAAGATTCAAGAGTGGAATTAGAAGAAAAGTTCTTTGCAAACAGTTCTGCCTTATCCCTGGGAGAGGTAACAAGATCAGTCCCATGAATGAGAGATGGAATGTTAGGTCTACCCTTGTTAACAATGCTGTTGAAGATTTTCCAAAAGTCTTTAGAGCCTAACTTCTGCGATAAGATGCGAGATTTAGTGAACTGAGAATAATGGAGTTTAGCATCAGAAAGCACCTTTTTACATCGATTTCTTGCAATAATAAATAGCCGTTTGTTCTCAAGAGAGTTGTTCTTTTGAAAAAGATGAAAAAAATGGTTACGATTGGATATAGCAGCCGCACAAGAAGGAGAAAACCATGGAGTAGAATGAGGCTTGACTTGAAACCGACGAGAAGGAATAAAAGCTTCCATTCCAGCCTGAATCCAGGAGGTTACGTAGGAGGCACATTTGTCAGCTGAGAGAAAAAAAACATCAGCCCAAGGACCATCACGAAGAAAATCACGAAAGGAATCCCAGTCAGCTTTAGGGTAGTAGTAGGTGGTGCGAAAAAAATAAGGTGAGCCCAAAAAAGAAGTACGAGAAGTAAGATTTATAGAGATCATTGCATGGTCAGAACCACCTAAGGGAGAAAAGGGAGAAACTGAACATAAGCTAGGGTCAGAGACAAGACATAAGTCAAGGAGTGAAGGTAAATGATTAGGGTTGTCAGGAAAACGAGTCACAAAGTTAACTATCTGAGTAAGAGATTGAGAAACGCAGAAGTTAAAGGCTTTAGTGCCAGCAGGATCAGTGGTGTTAGAGCCAAGCCATTCAGTGTGATGGGCATTAAAATCACCAACAACAACAATATTGGCAAAGGGGTAAAGAGAGAGGGCATGCTCAATTTGATCAGAGATAACATCTAAAAGAGTGCAATCATGGGAAGAAGGAGAACGATAAAGAACAAAGAGAAAGGTGATAGAGTGAAGAGGTGCTAGGCGAAAGCACATAAAAGAATGGTCAAAGGATTCGAACCTGATTTCACGACAAATAGGGGAATTAATGCGTATGTATACCCCTAAACCTAGCATGTGACTATTGGAGTCTTTACGAATCAAAGGATAGTACCCATCAACACCGACATCCGAAAAAGGAATTGCAGAACTTAAATTTGTTTCACTAAGTGCAAGCAAGTCTGGTGAATTTTGCAGGAGGTAAGACTCAACTGATGGAAAGTTGCTTCGTAGACCGCAAATATTTGTAAAAGATATATTAAAATATTTAGGTGGTGGGGATGGTTTTTTAGGTTTTAAATTTTTGGTTACTTTGGTCATGATTTGGGTTTAATGAGAACTTGACTCATTCATAGATAGAGCACAGCCTCCTAATCAATGAGCTATGCAGTTGTCTCAGTCCTGTTAATTAACCCTAAGCCGTGACATAGGGCTCCTTATGTGGCCTTGACAATGCACACCAAAAGCATTAACAGGGACACCATCCATGCCCAACATGGCACTGTTAATACTCTGATATTTTGCAGCTGTTGATGGAATCAGCCTCTCTGAGAGCTACCACAGAGTTCGGGAAACCTTACTACCAACCGGCATCAGAACCATTAAACTGAGTTTTAGAGCTGTACCCTCATATGGAGATCACAGGAAGAGTTGCATAGCCATTATCATAGAGGCATAAGCAAAATTCTATGAGTAGAGTCAAGGAGATCCAGCATTCATCATCCTAGGCAGGAAACAATGTAACACAGGTTACATCTACGCCAGCCTAATAGACGAAGAAGGGGTTCGAGGCTGGTTAGCAGAATTTTTCTGCTTACCCCTAAAGTCTTTGCCTAGGAGGCCTTCTACAAGAAAGTAGCAGGATGCAGTTAACATCTGCCCAAGATGAGTATTTTTATCGAGACACCATTTCTAGCCTTTACTCAACCAAGAGCCCCAAGGCAGGGGATGTTTAGCTGGATGCAGTTAACATCTGCCCAAGATGAGTGTTTTTATCGAGACACCATCTCTAGCCTTTACTCAACCAAGAGCCCCAAGGCAGGGGAATTTTTAGTCGGAGTTTATTTCTCCTAGCCTTTGCATAAGAAGAGCACACTCTGCAAGGCAGCAGGGCTTGTGGCAGGTGGTACTGGGTTACGTGATACCAGTAGCAAGATTGATCTCAATTATCCTGACCTGACCTGGATATATATATATATATGCAATTATATATATATATGCAAATATATATATATATATATATATATATATATATATATATATATATATATATATATATATATATATATATATATATATATATATATATATATATATATGCAAATATGTATATATATGCAAATATATATATATATGCAAATATATATATATATGCAATTTCCTAATATCATTTTTTGCGCTCTTAAGGTTAAAAAGTGCGCTTTAATTTTTTAGAACAAGAAGAAAAATTTATTTATTTATTTGATAATCAATGTGTGTAATAAAGCCCCTGCAACTTCCTATTTTTTTATGACATCATCTGCGTGTGTCCAATGCTGCATTGATATATATATATATTTGTATATATATATATATATATATATATATATATATATATATATATATATATATATATATATATATATATATATATATATATATATATATATATATATATATATATATATATATATATATATATATATATATATATATATATATATATATATATAGGCAGAGAGAGAGGAAGAGAGAGAGAGAGAGTGTCCAAAAAAAAAAGATTTTTGAAAAATGTATAATAAAAAAATACTAGATTTAAAGATTTGTTGAATAAAAAAGATTTTTTATGACTCTTTTTATGTACTGAAGCTCTCACAGCTTTCTGTTTCAGTATGATGTCCGTTTTTGTATTTTTTATATATGCATGCGGTAGTCAGTAAATTGCAAACTAAAAGCCAGGAACCAATACAATGCTAACTTTGCAAACCATAGTCTTGTTGGTTATTAATGATTTAATAATTTCTTTTTTATGATTGCTTTATTTTTATTGAATTAAATATAATGATTATTGATTCAAATATTAAAACAAAGATTCATAAAAATGGATATTCAAATCTATTTTTTAATTTTATTTTTTAAATAACATATCTACATGGTGTTAGATAGGCATATAAGTTTTACAGTGTTTTTAGGTTATTAGGAATATTTATTGTTATTGTTCTAGAAAATATTGGAAACTTTTATTGATGTTGTCCCATTATTTCACAAAATAATAATAAAAAAAGGTCTTTAAAATTTTGGAATTTTAAACCCATTGGAAATTCCACAGTACTCACACTGTGCCATTGGGCTGGCTAACACCCTGACCTATAGTTATCATAACAATATGTTTTGGTTTGCAAAAACGTTTGCATTTTAACAGTTCAAAGTTCACATTTTACCGATTACCCATGCATTTATACATGTTTTATAAACATATCTTGACATTGATTAAATAAGATTTTCAATCAATTTGGTTGGTATTTTGAGGCGCCATTTTTTCAGTTCTTGTTTGAGCATTTTATGACTAGTTATTTGTGTTTTATTTAACTGACAGTCAATCCATTAAAGCTTTTGATTGGTTTAAATCATGGTGACCAAAGCATGAGTTAAATACTGCTTTTAACAAAAGGTCATTTAATATGCTGTTCGACATGCTTGATCTGAAGTTGTGAATTCGATCAGCTTTTTAGCTGCTTTGCTTAGTTTGTATAGCATGTTTTTATGTAGTACTGGTAGTTTGAGACCAAGACCATGTTTTGTGGTCAAAGCTGAAATTAAAGTCAAGATATTCAAAATACTTCTTTAAAAATACTCAAAACAAGGCAGCGTTTTAAGGAATCCATTATTACTGATAGAAATTTAAAACCAAATGTAAAACATTCTATTATGTATTAGTTACAGAAACATTAGATTTAAAAATGTAAACGCAATATTAGGACACTGTAAAAAACTGGATTCTACTATTTCAGTAGATATCTACTAATTCAGTCCTAGTCAAGAAGGCACGCTATTATATGATCACGGAAATAATATTTTGTTTTGACAGTTTGACCACGGCTTTTAACATTTTAAAAATGTGCTGAATAAAATTTTTTAATTTAAATTATATAAATTATTTAAGTATGCATTTTTATAATAAATAATATTTGAAAAAAAAAAAAAAAAAGATTAAAATATGTAATTAAAAACTTGGTTTGAATAGTCTTAGAGCTTTAGTTTTTTGAGTTTTATTTTAGTTAAATCATATTTTTGAGTTTTATTTTAGTTAAAACATATTTTTGAGTTTTATTTTAGTTAAAACATATTTTTGAGTTTTATTTTAGTTTAAACATATTTTTGAGTTTTATTTTAGTTAAATCATATTTTTGAGTTTTATTTTAGTTAAATCATATTTTTGAGTTTTGTGTTTCATTTTTAGTCAAGTTTTTTTTTTTTTTTTTTTTTTTTTGTTAGGATATCTTTTCGTTTTTGTTTTTTTTAATAAAGTTTTCTTTTTAGCTCTTTTTGGAAATGTTTAAGTTTTCAAAACATATTAACTACTGTATTCAAATCATTAAAGCAAAATATTATTTTTGTACTTATATAATGGCGTGCGATAAACTATTCCATAATTTTTTGTGTTTTTTGTGTAATTGGTTGTGAGTTAACTGCACAATTTGCATTTTACTAATGCTGCTGTATAAAATAAAATAAATAAATAAAATTGTATTTACTGTTACTATAGAGAGAGAACTAGAAAATTTATATAATAAAATATGATGATGCAATAACAACAGGTACAATTGTTCGAGTATTTGTGTTGATAACTGTAACAAAAATTTTTTCCAAGAATTTAAACAAAAAAAAAATATTTTAGGTATGCTGACTGTATTACTTTTAACCCAAAACAGGGTTAAAAATAATATATAGATACAGTCAAGTATCTACATATTATTCCATTCAACAAGCCAATAATTCATGTGTCTTTGCTTCTAATCATGAGGAGAGAAGTATTATTTTTTTTAATTGTTAGGTAAAACATGCAAGGAGTGTACATACCTCAAATGACTTAAGTTACCGAATTCTCTTTAGGTTGAAACAATTTATCTTAATTGTCTCTCATCATCAACTGCTGCAAAACCATTAAATTAGTGACTGGGGAATTTGGACTTTTTTTTATTTTAGTGAAGAAAAGTAAAAAGCTGTGTAAATAAAGTACCTAATAAATATTGTTTAATGGAAGTTCTTTTTTTCTTGAAAAAGAATGGTGCTTGCTTTAATATTGAAAACTATTTAAATTTAAATAAAAAGTTTTTTTTTTAATTGTGGGATTTATTTTTTTAGGTCTGGTGCTATTTGGCAAAATAAATAACTTTTAAACTTAGGAATTTTATAGATTTTACTTTTTTTTTATTGCAGCATTTTTTAGCATCATCTTTGCTTTTGCTGGTATTATTTTGAATGATTTGAAGCCTGTATTAGAAAATGGTTTTTTTCAAGGATACAATCGATTTGTATGGCTTTCAGTTGTGATTCAGGTACATTTCTAAATCTATGTATGTAAGTATGTATATATATATATATATATATTTTTTTTTTGATTTTTTTTTAGTGTTGTTTACCTCCCCCATGGCAGAGAAAAGCGATTGCAATCCCAGGATCCCAGTCTTTTTTATAATTCCAAAATCCCGGGGTTGAAATTAAACAATCCTGGTATTTCCTTCAAGATCAAACAATACAAAATTTTTATTTAGTATAAAATTGCAAAAAGTATTTGTATTTTCAGTTGTACAATGAACAAGTTATCAAAAAGGTTTGATTTAGAGGGGAAAAAAAATTGAAAATCTTTGTAATATATCATGTTGGTTAGCATATAAAATATACATATTAGCATATATAAATATACATATTAGTAATAATCATATACAAAATAGCATACACACAATATAAAAAATTTAATACACTAACTTATTTTAAATAAAGAGATTAATATGCTTAAAATAACAATGAAAAATATTTTTATAACATGTTTGTTAAATTTGTAACATTTGTTTGCGGCACTTGTGATTATAATACTTGTCTTATTATTTAAATTTTCTGTTAATTTAATAAAAAATTTATAATTTTGAATAGCGGACTTTACTTTCCATTGCACTGATTTCTCTGAAAACATTGTAAAAAACATTTTATTCCATAATTGACAAACTTTAATTGAGATTTCTTTAATAACATCACTTGATCTAGGAGTATTACCTAATTCTAAGAGAAAATGATATCTTCCTAATATCTGCTTTTTCTGACATGATTTTAAAAAATCTATTAGTGGCTTCTCAATCAAATTTCCATATAAACATTTTCTTGGCTTTAAAATAATGGGCGATTTTGTTTTTTGGGGTTTTGTTTAATGTGATTTGTTCTTCAATAGGTTTACGTGCCACTCTAACTTCTATGTGATTCAGAAATCTATCAGCGTTGCAATTTTCAATTAATCACAATTCATAATCATGTAGTAGAGTACAGCAAAAAAAAAAACAAGATAAGGTTTAGTTCATTAAATTGAAGTGCATAAGAAATCAGGGTAGGAGAGAGATTTTCTTTGTCTTTTAATGAATGGACGTCACTTCAAAATCTTTGCTATATGAATATTAACGTTCATGGACAAAATTCTCATTACTGAAGTTTAGTTTTAGTGCTAATAACAGGTTCAATGCCAGCAGAAAAGTGCTTTGAACTATTAAAAGAAAAAAACTTAAAGAGCAAGTAGTCTTGATCTACACAGCGACATTGTAGCTATAATGCCTGACGGAGTGTTATGAACAAAGTTGGAAGGCTGCTAATACAACTTGCTGATATTATTGTTCTTTATAAAAAGAGAGAATTCGATGCAAATCAGCTGGATTTTGAAAATGAATTTTCTGACAGTGATTTATCCGAGAATGAGGAAATTGAGGAAGATTTACTGGGTTACAATAATGAAAATGTAAGACCTAAAGTTGAACTAATAGAGTTTTATTATGGGCTAGTCATAAAAAAAGTACGCAAATTGATAACCACCTACTAAAACATCTTATAAATATACATTAAGGCTAAATTTGGAAAACAACTGTCTTTAAAAATGGACTGCAAGATACGGTAGAGCAGCCTTCTGTTAATGCTTAAATGATTTTACAAGTAAAAAATTATATACAAATATCATTACAATAATATCAGTGACTATAATATCCGAGATTATTACAACGTAATAATCTCTGATATTATAGTCACATCTCACATATTATAGTCACCCACTAAAGCAACGGTTAAAATACTTTGTCGCTGAGATTCTAACCTATTTACAGCCAACATCGCTGTTATTTTTATGCTTACAAAATTAAAAGATGCTGACACTAATATAAGCAAGGAAATGTGTACAGCTTTAATTAGTCGTGTGTGAACGCGGAATTGATATGAGTGGATTTCTGCAATACCTGCATAAGGGTTGAAGCTCCAGTGAAGTCGATAAAGAAATAATTACAGTACCTACTTCATTTAAATCTCATAAACTTTTGGTAGAATTGCTGGAAAGAATAAACGCTTCTAGCCTTGCTCTAGTAAGAGCATCAGTTGAGTCTGATATGCTGGATTTGTTTAACGAACCTGAAATGGTGCATAAGTCTGTAAGTAAACCTTTAAATATTTATAGAGAAACTATATCGTATTATTAAAGAAGGACAATCACCAATGCAACCAGTTAGACATTAGACATGGTTATCAAAAATTCAAAAAGAAATGACACTATTTGAAAATGGCGGTAAAAGTGGTAACTATTTAGTTGCCACTTTTAATAAAGATTATTAAAGTGCTAATTCATTTCTAATGACCAAAACCGATAAGTGTCGAGGCATTTTCTTACTGACCTTACTCGGAACTTCTTGTTCATGAAGCGAATTAAAGTAATAATTTTTAATTGGTAATAAACTTTGCATTTTGTGTCATCAGTGATATTTTTTTGCTTCTTCAAAAGCTGTCAAAAATTAATTTATTACTAATTATAATTAATAAGTAATTAGTTTTTTAAGCTAGAACTCTTTTTTGCAGGGGTGCGGAGTCGGAGTTGCAGAGTTGCAACATTTTTAGAGGAGTCGGAGTCGCTAGACAAAATTGCGACTCCAATTCCAATAGTAAAACTTCTCGGTGTTGCACGTGCATGTACAAAACATTAAATTAACCTTATGTTCATACTAAACCTCAAAGAACGTTTCATAAATTTGTCAGAAAAGAAAATTTTAACTTATCGTGTAATATTTTTTTAAGAATTCAAAGAATTTTTCAAAAATCTTGCTTTGGAGTTGGAGTCGGAGTTGTGCTCAAAAAATTTCAACAACTGGAGTCGGAGTCGTTACTTTTTTTTTACGACGCCACACCCCTGCTTTTTTGTGTATAAATTTTTTTTTGTTATATATTTAATGTTTGATTTTTTATACCAATAATTTGAATAATTTTGTGATGGAAGTGTTTTTATTGTGTGTAATTGTTAATTTTTATTACAGGGACTAGGAGGTTTATTAATTGGTGCTGTCGTAAAGTATGCTGACAATATTCTTAAAGGTTTTGCTACATCTTTATCAATTGTTGCATCTTCTTTAGCATCCTATTATATTTTTAATGATTTTGAGCCCTCTGGGTAAGCAAGAGTAGAGTTCATTATTCAATTTTTTATGTTTTTTTTTATTTTGTTAGGTTTTGTTATTAGGTTATGAATAAATTTCCAATGCGCAAACATGTTGAAGAGATTTTTTGATATTTTGAAAAAATTAATCTTTAAACCAAAAATGTGAATAAGTTTCATAATAACTAATTGGGAACTAAATGGTTTTATTAATATGCTATAATTATAATTAGTTGTTTGGATGTATTTAAATCATTGTCAAGGTTCCATCAGTAGAGACATAAAGATTAAGTGGTCGAACCATTTTGTCGTACTTTCGCTTTTGTTTGAAGATTTTGTTGGATGGATTAGGTGGGAGATTGAACAAGACTTTCCATCGATTTTAATTTAACTTTTTTTGAATTTTAGTACATTTAAGTTGTATGCATTATGTATTATTATATAATATTATACAATAATAAATACATACTATATTATTATTATTATTATTTATATATATTAGGCCTAATTTAAGTTATATGCATTATGTATTCATTTGGTTTGTTTTAAGGTACTTTTTCTGTGGAGCAAGTTTTGTGTTATTGGCAACATATTTATACAGCTTACCAGCACCTCCTGAAATAACAAAGAATTAAATCTTTTTGTATTCAAATATTTATTAAAGTACGAATTGTGTATGAATGAATTTATAACATTCCGATCAATGTTTTTATAACTTTTCGTTATAAAAACATTCATCGTGGGTTTTCTTGCCCACCGATTCTAACTAGAAAAAATGTAATTTTGACAATCTATTTTTATATTATGGTGTTATTATTTGTATTTGTATTTAATATTTATTATTATTTCGAAAAAAAATTTTGAAAATTTATATTCAATTATATGTACACACGTAAATCCATTACTGTTGATTTAAAATTTCTACGTCACTGATGACAAGATAAAGGTGTCGAAAGGTATTTTAAAAACAAAGATGTTTAGAATGGCAAAAATAATGATATAAGTTTGTTTACTAGACAAGTTTAAAATCTTTTTTTCACAACGCGCGCCTGAGGCACTACAAACTTACATAAAAAATTCTGGAAAGCAAATAACTAAACATGCAGGTTTAATCAATAATAGCTGCTTTTGTTGAAAAGGTTAATGCAGTTGCTAGAGCTTCCTCTAGAGTGTGTCTAAAACAGAAACAATATTTTATATTTCGGAAAATATTTTTTCCGATTTTAACTTTTTAAATGTTTTTTTGCGGAATCAGGTTAGTAGTTCCTAATTAAAAAAAGATTTTATTATTTTTTAATTAGGAACTACTAATTTTATTTACAATTTTTTTAAATTTTGCTCTTTTAAGAAAGGATTAAACATGCTTTTGATAAATTTTTCTATTGCTCATAATAAAAATCAAGCTTCTGCGTTACACTTAAATATTTTCAACTTAATATATAAAATTAATTAAAACCAAGAAAAAAATGAAATAAAATGAGGGTTAATCAAGATTATAAACTGAAAATTAAATTACATCAAGCCAGATAAGCCAAGGAGATCGTTCCGTATCCGTTCGTTAGAAAAAAGTTCATTTAACAAGGTTTTCAGGGATAAATTAAGTGTAATTGTTATGTTCCAAAAATATGGAAACACAAATGACAGATACACTCCTCAGAACATTTAAGATAGCTCACCACTAAAAAAATAACTTTCTCAAATTTTATCATTTTTAATTAAATAAGTTAGATGAAATATTATGAGCAAATAAAAGAAAAAAAATTTTTAATTTGCATCAATTTCTTCCAAAAATATGTTTAAAAAAAAAAAAAAAAAAAGGTTGTAAAATATCATTTTGAAACTAATTTTGAAAAATGATAACTTAAAAACCACAAGAAACTAGTATTACAATTTAATGAAACGTTTTGCATTAAATGAACCAATTTTATTGCCAAATGTTGTAATTTTTGATTTTTTTTTCGAAAAAACATCGAAAATTGAAGGGTCAACTAATGAAAAACAGAAAAATGTCAATAACTCATGAAGTACTTTATTTTTGAAATAAAAAACTTCAAGCTTTTAGCTGTTGTTCTTTTTAATAATAAACATCATCAATCAGGGCAAAGAGACAGCAATTACACCCTTATGTAACGTAAACGATCCAACATTTTATTTTTGTTTATTTATTAATTAATTAACAATTAAGACCAGAACTAAAGAAAAGTTTAAAATTTGTATTTATTTATATTTGTTTTTTCTAAAATCTAAATTAAGTTCAAAGTTCTTCAACAGCGGTTCTCGGTGACAAGACCTGGATGGTCTTCTTTGAGTATCCGCGTTCTTTATCTTTATTCTTTATTTTTTAACAATTTCTTTGCACGTAATTTTTCTTATTGATATATTTGTAAATATTGTATTAAATATTGTAATAAAGAACAAAAAAAATGTCAGTGTTGCTAGGGACCGTTGTCAAGGTAAAATGTCTTGATTAAGCCTAGTAAAGTGGAATAATTCACAATAGACTAAAGTTGTGTCAAAATAGATTTCAAAAACATTTACAGTTATGTTGAGTTGATATAAAATAAAATAAATCCAAAAAACCAAGTTTTGATAAAAATTAAGACTTATTTAGCGGAGTGCCATCTTAAGAATGCTTTATTATTTTAAGAAATTACTAAAGTTGTATGTCAAGATTACGAATAGTGCTCTTGGATCTTAGTTTTGGATGTGCTTTAAACATTTCTTTTTTTTTGCAATAAGACTTCAGAATATTTTGTCAATCACTATGAGTGGTATATAATTTACGGAGTGCAAGACCCTATCAAACTTGCAAAATTAATTGGCTAAATGTGACCACCACCTGCTAACCAGAACAGATCCAATAATCTCAAGTATAAGTTTCATCAAACACAAAAATTTAAATGAAAAACCTTTACTAACTGTTATGTGAATTTTTTTGTATTTTAAATATAAACTTTAAAATATAAACAATGAGTTAGCGTAGATAAAAAAGTGAAGTAACATACGGGCAAATTCCCTTTCTTTATGTGATTATTATATGACTTTTTTTAACCAAATATATATATATTTTTTTTAAATTCAAGCCAACAAGTGACGTTTAAAAAAATTTTTTTTAAATAACTTTTTCCATTTTCATTAGTCACATTATAGTCATTTTTAAGCACCCTTCACCACCCCGCCCCCCCTCCTTCCTCTCCTCTAGCAAGACAAATTTTTTTTTTCCAGATCTGGAAATAGTATAAAATTTTTTACCAAAAAAATACAGTATAAAATTAAAATAGTGTAAAAGTTAATCCCCCGTATAATTTTGAAATTAAAAAAATAAATTGACACATCCTACTCTTATCCAGCTAGCACACATACATTGTTAAAACGTTAGAACAATGTCGCGCGTTTCGTTGGCCCAACATCGGCTGCCAACCTTTTATTTATATCATTATGGTTTACATCGTAAAAACAATCAAATTTTTTCGATGTTTTTATATACATTGGAAAAACGTTGATTTATATACATTACATCAATGTCGAAATATATACATTGGATCAACATTTGGTTTAGATCGTAAAAACAATCAACGTTTTGCGACGTTTTTACATACATTGAACCAATGTAAACTTGCTAGATGTTTTTAGTTCCGTCGGTAATAATTTTATTATTAACTAAATGACATTTGATCAACGTGGGTTTTGCATTGGAATAAAGAGCCGACGTTCGCGATGGTCTCTGATGCACAGTGCGGTAAAAGCAAAAGGTATAAATACAAACTTGTGTTTAAATACGGCAAAATATTGCCGATATGACAAGGAATTTGTAATCACAAAAAAAAAGAAGAGTAGAGTCATTTTGATGTCATTAACTTTGACATCTGAAATCTATATTCAAGAGTATTTTCAAAAGCGACTTTAGACTTTAAACTTTAAAGTGGTATAAATTAAGAAAGGTTAATTTTGTATCGAAAAACCTCAATCCACCAAACTGCCTACAATTCTGGCCCATCAAAAATATTATGGTATTAAAAAAGGAAATTGTATTAAAACAGGTAAGACTATTAATTTAGTACAAAATTTGCAAAAGGCATGGTCAACCATGAGCAAGAAAATGAAAATAGTAATCGTGCAGATGTTAATGAGCACCATCATTATGTACGATTATTATTTAGAAATAAAGAAACTGAAAATATTTTTATACTCATTAATTTCTTAACTTTAAACGAAAATTAAAAAGATTTGTCAAAAACATTTGTTTTAGATTTTCAATAAAACAATTCCTTTTTTTAATACAATATTTACCTGGATTATACTTAGCAATTATATTTGTATAATAATTATATATAAATATTAAATATGTATATTGTATATATATAATAAATTTATATAATCAGAGGTGTGTGGGGTTATTTTTTATATATAAAAAAAAAGCCAGTCGGTACTTTTTGAGGATTCACCCCTCCCCTTCATTTTATTCGTAGAACCGCCTCAGTATATATATATATATATATATATATATATATATATATATATATATATATATATATATATATATATATAAAGAACCGCCTCAGTATATATATATATATAGAACCGCCTCAGTATATATATATATATATATATATATATATATATATATATATATATATATATATATATATATATATATATATATATATATATATATACAGATATATATATACAGATATATATATACAGAATAAATTATATATATTAAATAATAATTATACAATTGATAATAATTAGAATTATATTTGCAAATATTTACCTGTTAATCTAAATTTAACTTATGGGAATTTGGTACAGCTTCTAAACCTAATACCTGGAAAACAATCTAAAAATAATTTTTCAAATTTGTCCTGAATACTCTTTGTTAATAGGTTAAAATTATATACCAAAATCATTAAAATATCCATTAACTAGATTTAACAAACGGCCTTTTTAAATAATAGTTTTTAGGTAATAATTGGTTTCGGTGGGTCATAACTTCTTAAAAATAGTAATTCAACCATGGTTTCGGTAAATGATATTAACTAAACAGTGAAAACCTTTTTATAGGACTAGCACGAGAATCCTCAAAAGAAACTTTATGTACTAAGTTACTTTATAAATATATTTTATAAAGAGTTGGAGAATTATTATTTAATTTTTTATTTTCTACATATCGCATAGACGTTAGAATTATCTTGTTTATCTTCACTTTTTGAAAAAATAAAGTTTTTGAAAGCGTTGTGTACCTCAGAGTTTTTCTACTTTTTATTATCTTCAAGGGAGAAATACAACTAAAAGAGTACTTGACTTGCTCACACAAATTGTCGAAATTTTTTTACTTTTTTTTTGAATATACTTTTTCTTTCTTTTTTATAATCTTTTTAATAGTCTGAATTTTAAATTCTATAAAATTATAAATGCGTTTTGGATTACTTTTTTTTGTGTGAAGATTTTCAAGCAATCTAATGAGATATATATTTTTTTAAACATCTTCGCTTCCAACAAGGCTTCAAGCAACCACTAATTAGTGTTGGAAGTTACTGGAAAAGAAAAGATGAAGATTGTAGAACAAGATTGACAGATATTATATTATTTACGATTTTATATTATTACGATTATTATATTATTTACGATATTATATTATTACGATTGACAGATATTATATTATTTATTAGATAGACAGATATTATATTATATATTATTATTATATTATAAGATACCAAATTATAATTTCTTTTTTACTATTGTTATAAATTTGTTGCTTTAATATAGAAAAATTTCGAGTCTTAAATAAATATTTTTTTTTATTCGTTATTGTTTTCGACCACTTTTAATTTTCGATTTTATAATTATATATAACAAATTGAAGCTGTAGAAAATTTAAATTTCGTCCTTAATTTTCTTTTATTGTAAAGTTTCTATTGAAAGTTTTCAATTTATAAAATATATTTCCCTTTAAAAAATTTCAACTCAAACAATATAATGCCCCTCAATCATTTAATTATGGACCAACTTTCTTTCGATACTAAATAACTAAATGCCTTTTTTTAAATGTAAATTCTATAGATTCAATCTTATTTCCTAAAAACGTAATCTTATTTTCTAAAAACATTCTTGGTCAATCTTGGTTAATTTATAGTTAAATAAATAAAATGTAAAAAATGTTTGAAAAAAACAAACAAACAAAAAGACGAGAAAACCGACCATTTTCACTGGTCGCAACATCAAAATAGTTTGTCGTTGACGTACATTTCGAAGCCAAAATTAAAGTCTCAACAATACTCATTAAGAAACTCAAGCTTATAAAGGCCAGAAAATTTAGAAAAAAATCCAGTAGATGAGGTGATATAGTTATCTCTTCTTATTAAGCCAGATGAAGTTTTATAAACTTGTAATTTAAAATTGTATTATAACGTAGTTCCATACCATCCGAATCCATTCAGATTTTCAGTTCATTCTATGTTCCAATGGTATAATTTAGCTAGTTATTTTTTATAACAATACAAAATGTGCTACTTGCGATCAATCGGATTCAATTTCTAATACCGTAATCTAAGCAGCAGTGAAATTATCTCAATTGTTTTGTGTTAACTCTAAAAGTTATCAATTTTAGCAACATTCGATTCACCAAGTTTTTTTCACCTCAAACAATTCAACACTAGACACGTGCTTTATTTTGTCGTCATCTGTTTTCATAACGTTATCATAGATACATGTATCAACGAGCAGTTTTAAATTCGGATCACGGATCATTTCTACTGATTTTACTTCATATTTTTATGAATCTTTATTTAAGAGTGTTAAAATCGTGATGCGATTTTCTTATGAAATAACACATCCTGACTCTTTCGCCATCTCTGCTTTAGGAGAATCCATTCTACCAGGACTGTTTATAACCTTATTTTCGACGTCCGCGGATAAACTTTGAGAAGAGCCTGTAACTTCTTCGTTCACTTGATCTTTAGATTGCTCTTGTGGTAAAACAGGATCAACAACAGATGCACATAAACATTGGCAATCTCGAATAACTGTGTTCAAAACGGGGATGTATGTCCGACTAACAAAAAAAAGCAAATCAAAATGGTAAAAAATAAAACTAAAAACTGAAATCATAAAACAAAACACTCTCTAAAATTAAACTTTTATAAGACAAAACACTCTCTAAAATAAAATATTTATAAAAAAAAAAACACTCTTTAAAATAAAACTCTCTAAAAAACTCTCTAAAAAACACTCTCTAAAATAAAACATTTATAAAAAAAACACTCTAAAATAAAACTTTCATAAAACAAAACACTCTCTAAAATAAAACCTTAATAAAACAAAACACTTTCTAAAATAAAACTTTCATAAAACAAAACACTCTTTAAAATTAAACATTCATAAAACAAAACACTTATAAAATTATAGTTAATAAAATTACCAGTGAATCTCTAACCAATCTCTTAACTCGTGTAACTGTTCAAATAATGCATCTATCCTAATTATGAAGGTATCTTTTAAAGAACCTATCTTTTCTGTCACATCTTTTATAGACGCAACATCAAAGAGCATTATTCCGATAAGAATTACCCAGTCCAAGCACAAAGCTTCTGAAAAAATACGAAGAAGGTACCTAGAACAAAAATTACGAAAAACAACTTTTTAATTCATTATCATGCATTTACAGCAATATTATAAATGACTTTAATACAAAAAGCATTGTAAGTAATTTTTGCATTGTAAGTCATTTATAATATTGCATTTACAGCAATATTATAAATGACTTTAATACAAAAAGCATTGTAAGTGAGATTTTGAATAGCTCTCAAGGAGGTCATTATAAAACTTTCAATAGATTTTCTCTAACTACTTACTTCAACTTTTCTTGAGAATGTATAGGAAATGAAACTTTAAAAGCTTCCATATTTTGCTGCGATCTTTGCATGTCAGTAAACTCCGTACAATTGAAGTCATCAAATGTTGACATTGAATCAGAATTTACTTCGTCATTTAAATCTTCTGTTTTCCGAAAAAAAAAAAAAAAAACAGAAAAAATTAACCAGAAATAAAAAAATTATAAATATTAAAAATATTTTTGGATAAGGAAAACCATTATTTGTAGAAACGCTCTCACGAATTTGCAGAAATACCTTCAAAATTTTAAGAAATTGAAAAGCGGTTCAAACTTTCATAACTAAACTACGTTATAGGAATAGCGAAACCACCACAATCCAGTTTTAAAAATAATACATTTTTCAAACTATCATTTAGAGCAGGCAGCAAAATAAAAAAAAAAACCTCCCTAACCTTTTAACTACAAATATGACAAATATTAAAAATAAACCTTTTACTGACAAAAGTCTAGCCACAATGTCGCCGTGTTTTATGTACTGGATACTGGTATTATTATCACCTTCTGAAGGTGTTGTCGAAGTAGTTATTTCGTTTGCGGAACCATCAACTTGATACACTTTAGAAACGAAGATTGTAAGTTAGTTAACCATAAGAAATAAACAAAAATATATAAATAAGAGAATCAAAACTAAAAAAAATATATTTCTAGTTTTTATGAATTTAAATGTAATTTTTATTATGGTGATTAATACCCACTTAAATTAAAAAAAAAAATTTGTTATTTTTAAAAAAAAACTTGTTATACCCGAACGAATAAACAAACAATTTATTATAAATTGAATTTAATTTTCTTGAAATTAAACGAGTTTTCTTGTCTTTTTTTTGTATATTCATAATATTATAGTACTTATTTTTATTTTTACATGTAGTGCTTGTTTTTATTTTTATTACTTTAGTTTTTATTTCATTTTTAAGTCTTTAAAATCCTTTTTTTTAACATTTTAAAATAAAACTTTGAGCATCATTAATTTTTTTTTTTAATTTCACTATTTTATTTTTTTCAAAAACTTTACTGATTATTTTTGAAATATAGGGCAAACTGACCAATTAATGGCCACATCTTTTTTTAAAGGCACTCTGAACACAGTAATATTGTCAGATTTAAATTTTTTTTTGCTATACTTAATAATAGACATTCTTTTAATTTATTTTGAGTAATTGTTACCAAAATATAAAAAAACAACAATGTAAACAATTCATTTGAATTAAAATTTTGAATAAACACCAATTAATGGCCGGGTTGACTAATTATGAGCCAGTTCACTTTTTATTGAAATATTAGATTCTACTAACTTTGCCACAGGTTAAAATGTTGTGAAAATAATTTAATTTTAATAAGATTTATAATGAATAAAAAAAAAAAGGCTTTAAAATGTAAATAATCAATATAAACTAGTTAAATATTGATTATTAACTGTTACACATCAAATTTTTAAAATTTTTTAAACGTTATAATTACTCAATAAAAACTAGCTTAGACATAAGTACCCCTTCAACAATGGCCAAAATAAATTATTTGTAAAACTGTATATTGATTCAAAGAAATTTTAACAATCAAAACTCAAGAAATACATCAAAAAGTACTAACAAAATTTGATAAAAAAAATTAACTTGTTCACTTATTAATAATAAAATCAATATGTTTCAGTTGCCTTTTTAATTCTCTGTCCTGTTGCAGTTTTAATCTCTTTTCTTTTGCATCAAGTTGCTTCAATTTTTTTATTTTTGCAGCCTCAACTTTTTCCTCTTTCTTTTTTAGATCATTTAACTTGGCTTGCATAGCTTCAGGAGAAGTTAGAACAAAATACTTTTGTTTAGTATTTCTATTGTTTTTTGACTTATTGACATAAAAATTTGGGTAAGAGATAACATCATGATCATTGTCAATGGTACTTTTCAGTGAATCTGTTTTAACAGATATTGGACTAGAATAATCAACACTAGTATTTGGTATAGAGACAGAGTGAATATCAGTTTCTTCTGATAAAGCAATTGTTTCAGCAGCTTCTCGTAATGAGAGATCAAAAGAAACATCACTGATTGCATTCTGGTTTATACGAAAGTCTTTGTATGCTAAATACAAATTGTCAGAAATATCAAAACCATTTTGATAACAGAAATTAAAAGCAGTCAGATGCTCTGGAGTTAAACAACTATTCCATAACATTAATGCTGTGTCATTATCCAGCTGAGCTAAATCTACATTCAGAATATCTGATCCAGTCAAGATGCCTATAGTTTCAGTTGTATCAACATCATTAATAAAAGTACAATTTGAATTAGGATCCACCTGTTTTTCAAAAGCATTGTTTAGTGATATTCCAGATTGATAATTTATGGTATCATTTTTGAAGGAATCAAAACTTGATTTAAGCAAATTCTCATTCCCTAATAACTGGTCAGAGTAAAGTGAATTGGGCAAGTAGGCCTCATATGGAATTGCAGAAGGATTATAGGGAAAGATACCACATGATTGAAAACCAGAAATAATGTTAATGGCAGTTAATGCTTGATCCCAAGCTTTCTTGAACAATCCACAGAAGTTAGACTTATTGATTGTAACAGAGTATGTATTCATTAAATCATGACAACAAGTATTGTAGTAAGTCTTCAAGGGACCAAATACAGTACGATCTAATGGCTGCAACCAGTGAGAACAATGTGCTGGCATCTCAACAATTTCAATGTTGTTGTCAATAGCAACAGATAATAACTCAACTGAATTGTGAGAATCATGACCATCAACTATTAATACCTGGGGCCTGTTAGTTCCAATGTTTGGCAAAAATGTATTTGTAAACCAAAGGTATGCTATTCCTTGTTTTGTCCATCCAGTCTCACTAACACTCCATTTTGAACCAACTGGTGCATCACTTGTATTAAAAGCTTGAAGTGATTTTATTGTTTTACCTTTTGGTATTAGATGTGGAGGTATAGTTTTACCAGCTGCATTCACAGCAGCAATTACAGTGATGGTTTCCCTTTTTCCTGAAGTACGAGACTGAAGATGTTTGGCACCCCGTGCTGCAACAATTTTGGGTGGTTTAAAGTCTAATTGAAGTTAAGTCTCATCCATATTCCAAATTGAAGAAGGCATAACATGAGTACCCAACTTATTAAAAACTTGTTGAAGTACTAAAAAATATTTAGAAACTTTTTGGACTGACATGCATTGATGTCAAACAGATGATGTTCCTTCAGGTTTTCTTAAAACCATAGTCTTATGTCGTTGTTTAAATAACCGCCACCATTTTTCTGATGGGGTATCATGTTTAAAATTTATCTGGTGTTTCTTACTAAGCTGTGAGACATATTTCATAAATTGTCTTTTCCCAAACCCAATACCGCGATTTGCTCTAGATGTGGCATAATCAACTAACTTTTTTTCTATATGATTTGGTAATTTTGGTGGAGGTCCAGGTTTAACTCCAATTAAGGAGTCTCCTCGAAGATATTTTCCTAGTGTTGCTCTGGGAATTTTATATTCAATAGCTGCTGATCTTTGTGATAATGAACTACTTTTAACTGCATTAATGGCATTTTGCATGTTAGTTTTTGACCATTGAAAACGTTTAATTTTCTTCATAATTTTGTTATTGCTAAAAAAAAATATACCAAAACAAATTCGACTATTGAAGAATATGTATACATTAATCGAATTAAATATAAGAATATTATATATATATATATATATATATATATATATATATATATATATATATATATATATATATATATATATATAAATATGTATATGTATATATATATATATATATATATATATATATATATATATATATATATATATATATATATATATATATATATATATATATGTATATGTATATATTTATACATATTTATATATATATATATATATAAATATGTATATGTATATATGTATATATATATATATATATATATATATATATATATATATATATATATATATATATATATATATATATATATATATATATATATATATATATATATATATATATATATATATATATATATGATAATAATAATAACAATAATAATTTAAATCATTAAAGAACAGAGCATAATTACCTTAAGTAAGCTTAGTACTTAGGTTAAAATACTTTGCTTCTTTAATAGTCTGAGTTTTTCAGAGATATTGTTATTATTATATTGTTTTGTAACAGTCTTGTTTTACCTTACAAATGAAAGAAATAGGTATTTGAATAACTAAGTGAGTAAATTAAATAAATTTCTTAATATTATGTTTGTATTAGCACAAAAAATAACTAAGTTTACAATAAAAAATAAAAACAAACAAATAACATATAGGTAATATTGAAAAATTGTAATGGCTACAAATTGGTACATTATACGGCCAATAATTGGGCGATGTGAGTGGTGCTATACAAACCTTTCAAAATTCTAAAACTTATTGTTTGCAGTTCAACAAAGTGTTTAAAAGATAAATGTATGACTTAAATTTTAAAATAAACGTTCTTAAATAACTGAACTAAAAAAATGCATCATAAAAACTATTTTAAATATGTTTAAAAAATCCAAAACCGGCTACTTTTCTCCCCAAAAAAAGCGATATCTTTAACATAATATAAATATTCTATTTATAAACTGTAGCTTAAATATATATATTGCATATTGTTTATAGTACAAATAGCTGAAGAAAAAATCCAAATATTTGATCAACCTGTTTAAAAAATCTTTGAAAAAAGCCCTCAAAAAAGCGGCTCTTAATAGGACGTGGCCACTAATAGGTCAGTTTGCCCTAGCTATAAGTTTAAAGCGGAAAAGATGTGTCAAATACACTGTTTAATTTAATAAAAATACAAAATATAATTTTTGAGTTTGCACCATTTAATTGTTACTTGTTTACCCGATCAAAGGTTTTTAAAACTAAAAATAAACTTAGGAACTTTTTTTATATCAGAATAACTATTGTTTTTGATACCAACAGTTTTTGATTTACATTTAGCATTACTTACTTGGTTTCATTATTCATTTTTCTTCGATTTAATTTAAATTCCAATTGAAGAAATTTTTGAAAAACAGATTTCCTCTCACAGCTTTTAACTGCTTTATATTATATAAGTACAGATATAATTCATTGACCTTTTGGATTTGTAGTTTTGAGATTGAAAAATTTTCTGGCCAAACATAATAAGTCTGCATTATTACAGTCTTTAACAATTATATTTTTAAAAATTTATTTTTAGAAATCTTTAAACCAAAATTTTTTTTCTTGTATTACATTTAATATTACATTGCATAAAACAATAAAAAACTCTAACAAAGCCACAAACATGTAGGCTCAAAATTATTTTGATTTACTCGATATCAGTTTTGTTTGAATTGATTTTAAAAGATGAAAAAACACAAAAAAAAGCCCCATATTCATTGTGACTACTAAAATTATCAAGAAATAATAAAAATTTTCAGTAATGCTTAAATTCTGTAAAAAAACAACATGTAAACATGTTGAATCCAAACTGTGTTAGAAATGACCAATAACTGCAAAATGCAGAGGCACTACAAATATTCGTACTTGACTATTTTCTCTTATTGGAACAATAGTTTTGCGATATTCAGGCAAAAATCTTGTAAAGATTTTAGCTTTTTTTCATTCAAAGAAGTTATTTAAAGTTCACTCAAGCCATAGAACAAAAATAAAAAAGAGAGAAAACTGCAGACTTTTTAAAAAAGAATTTAACTTTTTTTTACTGTCTAAATTAAAGTTATTATAAAATTTGATTAAATTTTTTTAAATTTTAATATTAGGACAGGTTAACAAGAGTATTTGCTAAAATGTTCATTCTATATAAATTTTTGTTTAAAAAATAAAGTGAATCTGACATTCATGTTTTGTTTATACAAATTTTAAGAACAAAAGGTATTTGAATTTTTTATCAAAAAATCTTTATGCACATCAATAACTTTGTAGTTGCTTGAAAGATATCGTGCATTGGGTACATGTTTTTTTTTGCGATAGTAAGAAATTTGAGGGATGTTTCTAAACGCTCTATTTTTATTGAACTGATCAAAACTCTTTCATTGTTTCCTCTTTTCCATGTAAATCTGGGATTCCTTTGTTATTTTATGCTGAAATTACTCTAAACATTTTTCACATGAATTCTCACCAAACAGTATTTTTATTTCTTGTTTAACAACTAATTAATGAATGTGTGTTTTTCCAAAGTTCAAGGCTTCATAGATTTTTAATTTTCTTTTTTCTATAAAAAACTATGACAGTTTTTATTTCATATTTACTTACATGATTTTAGAGAATGAGAATTAAAATTTTTTTGTTTTTTGCCTGGTTGCTTACTTCATGAGATTTCTAGTCCTTGATTTTTCTGAACCATTATGCAACAATTATACTTATGACAGCAGCTTTGGAAGCAATGTATTAAAATCGATTTTAACCAACTTACGTTATAATTATAATGAAGTCCAATAACATATTTGTATTTAATTTAAAACTTTGCTATAGAGCTATATTAATTAAATTTTGCTGTAAATGGGGGGTATGAATCACTTTAATATTAAACAAAAAATGTTTTTTTATAACATTTAAAAATTTGTTATAAAACTATTATCAATTAATTTGATTAAAACAAAAGCAAAAATATTAGCAATAATAATTAAATATAAAAAAAATCAAACATGTATTATCTTGACATCTCAAGTATTTATCTAAAGAAGGAGTATCAGGAAATGGCCAGCTAAATTGCTCATGTAAAGCTGAAAATGCAACTGTGAATTTATCTATGCAAGCAGCACGAGATCTAGATAAAAAGAAAAATCAGATAAAAACGCTCAAAATTAAATAAACCTAATAACATCCCTTAAAAAAAAAGCAAGTCTTTTATGTGCATAAAAAAAATGTTTGATCAGTATTACACTTTTTTTTTTTTTGGAGTGCAACATTTTTATGTGAACAACTTCTTAAGTAAAAAAAAAAAAAAAAAGTAAAAATAAATAAAAACAAATAAACATACTTTTAGTTAGGAATTACAAAATTAATTATTTAAAAAAAAATTAAAAAAAAATATATATTTGTATTCTGATGAGAAAATTTTTAAAAGCATCTCAAAGTTTAATGTATATATAGATTTTAATTTATTGCTCTATAACAAATATACATAAGACACAAAACAAAAAACTCTCCTTCATGAAAGTTCAAAGCAGTTTTAAAAATTTGATTTCTGCTTCAAAAGGTTAAAAAAAATCTAATTTTGTTTTAAAATCCATTTTATATTATTCAATTATACATTTTAATTTGATTGAAAGTCACTTAGATTTTTGATTTCCCACTGTGCAACTATTATAATGTATGTAAAGTATTACCTTTCTTTTGTAAGCCATGGCACCAAATCAAACTGCAATTTAGTACTGAACCTTCCAAGGTCTAACAAAGCATAAGTGCTTAGTAAACTTCTAGCAAATCTGGACAGAATTAACTCAATGTAAAAATGTTCACAGCTATCCATTGAAAACGACCTTGAAAAAAATAAAATTATAGAGAACTAGGTTCATATATACAACTACTATTACCTACATAGTTCATATTTCTATTAAAACTTGATCCATATAGAATGCTTTTATAATTTGAATCATGTTTGATTCCCTATACACTAGTTTTTATGTAGAGATATCACTATGGGGTGATGTTATCATATCTGGCTAAGCAGCCATATTTTCTGATTTTAACAGTCAAATGTAAAAGTAGAGAGCTGGCAAAAAAAGAAATACTGTGTTTAGTTCTTACCACTTGTTCATCAAGGTTTGTTATTTAGGTGAAGGATTGAGAGAGGGTGGCAATAACAAATAAAAAATAAACTATACAATAATTAAAAAAATGTATACTCTTTAGGAGTACTGACTCCAACAAAGTTAGGAAGTTAGATGCAGGAAAATATATATAAACACAAAATTCATATATGTACATGCACATAATGTAATGCAATGTGAACACAGTAAAAACACAAACACACACACGCACATAATATTTATTAAAAATTAAAAATAATTCTGCATAGTAAAAGAATGTAACTTTAGAATTAAAGTTACAGGAACAATCAACATCATTTAATTGAATCTTAATGCAAAATTTCAAATGAACAGATTATTTAAAAAGTAGAAAAACTATTTACTTGTTCAAATGTTTTTCTTCTCGCTTGTTTATCTTTAGAGAACTAGGTTTCTCTTTAGTTGACCCAGATCTTTCTTTTCCACCCAAACTAAAAACCAATAATTTAAATAATTCCATTAAACTTCATTAAAAATTAAAAACATTTGATATCTAAATATATTTTAAAAAATTTGACAAATTAACCTAGATGTTCTGGTTGCTTGTGTATGCTGAGGAATACTGGTTCGAGAGGCCTGTCGCTGCAACTGCATTATAACAGGTGCATTCATTGAATCATCATAGCTCGATAATGAAAATGAATGATTTTGATGAAAGGAGGTTTTGTACTGCATACCGGGGTGAGCCAAAGGAGTACGAGGCGGAGATTCGCTCTCCTCCTTTCCTAAAAGTAAAAACTATTATTACTACGGAAAACAAGTTGGTTTATACACAAGCAAGTATGAAAAAACTCTAGTTAACAAAAAAAAAAAAAAAAAAAAAAAAGAGTAAAAACTATCAAATATTAAAGCTTACCAATAATTCGAAGAAAACGAACCAAGTCTTTAGCAAGCTAAATTAACAAAATAAAATTAAAAAAAAAAAAAAAAGATTTAGACAAAAATATTAGGAGATTTTTTTAATAGGCAACAAACACAAAAGTAGGCAACATACAAAATGAGGTGTAACCTTTTATTTTGTAAGTTGCCTACTTTTGTGTTATATCAGTGAGGCAAATTTGCAGGATATATATATATATATATATATATATATATATATATATATATATATATATATATATATATATATATATATATATATATATATATATATATATATATATATATATATATATAATATATATAAGCCTTTTCAAAAACCATTTCAACCAGAAAGTCTTGCTAAGCCCAACATTAAACTCATATACCTCCAACTTGTTGTGTTCAAGAGCAGCTTCTAATAGTAAAGTAGCATTCTAAATAAAATAAAAAAAATCATATTTTTATATATACTGATTTAACAATGGTTGATTGACTTGAACATGTCAAAAATACAACATTTTCCTTATGTGTTTTTGCTGCAAATCATGCAATATATAAATAGTATAGAATATATAAAAGAATTGACCTGCTTACTGACCATAGGTGATTCAAGACTCTGAAGTATTAGCAAGTAGGAAGCGGCAATTTCAAGTTTACCAATTGAATAACACGACTTAAAAAGAAAGTTAAAATGAAAATGATACTAGTCCTTTTGTTTCATACAGTTATTCTATAATGGGTGTTATAACATTATAAATTTCTATAATGGGTGTTATAACATAAATTTCTATAATGGGTTTTATAACATTATAAACTTTTATAATGGGTGCTATAACATTTTTATAATGGGTGTTGTAACATAAATTTCTTAAATGTGTGTTATAACACAAATTTGCCATAAAAAATGTCCTTTATAATTATAAATATTAAATAAATTTCAATATATAATAAAAAATCAAACCCTCAGTCAATTTACACACTGAAGCCCTTACATTAATGTAGACAGTTTTTTAAAGAAAGATAAACAAAAAAAAATTATTAATTTTTTATTTTTATTTTTTTGCTGTATTGCCTTTAATATGTAATTACTGCCTGCCCAAATCCTAACCCTTAACCAATATAAGTAATAAAGCCCTGGTAGATGGCTACTTTAATATGACACTGAGAAACATAAGAAAAAAATTGTATCTTAAAAACACTATTTGACTGATATTATGTTAGGTACTCTCTGAGTACTAGTTAAGTATACTTTACACACTATGCACCAATTTCTTGCAAGAATAACTATAATTGATTCATTAATGGCAGCATGCTTTTACCGTTCACTTGAAAAAATAAGGTTTTGTAGAGTTGCCCTAAAAAGCCTTTTTTTGAGTAAAAAGAATAAAAAAATTTGATTTGAGCTAAGGAACCTTCTCAGTGGACTACCAAACAATGGCAAGGAGTTTAATCAAATGGAACCAAAATATGTTTTTTTTATATGTTTAAACACCTTTGATTTAAGTGTCAACAAATTTCATGAAGACTAATGAAACTTTTAAAAAACTTAAAAATATTTAAAACTACCTTAAAAAGGTTAATTGGATTTCCTACAACAGAAAACAAATGTGGCCACAATGCAACTTCAGTCTTACGAGCACAATGACAAACAGTTTCTAAAAACTCTGGAAACTCCTGAATAAAAGCAACAACACGAGGCAGAAGAGGATCTAAATAAAACAAAGAATAAAATGCTCTTGTGGTACAAATTCAAAAAATTACATTAAAAAAATAAAACACAACAGTGGTGCATGATGTTCAAATCCCAATTATGTTGATAAGAAAAAACGTTAGTGCAACTAAAATCATTAAAAAAAGTAAACTTACCAGGTATTGGATTAGAAGCTGTGGCCTCTTTTTCTAGAACTTCATGTAACATTAACTCAAGAACATGCGCAAAATAAGGCAAACCTGTACAACTTCTTGCTATATCTAATGCATGGACACCTAAACTAAAAAAATAAATTTTAATATAGTGAAATTTTATTAACAAAATATTTTTGTTAATCTCTTTTTACTGTGGGTCTTTTGATTAAAAGTAATCTATAAATAACTGTTATAATCTAAAAATATTTATTAAAAAATTTTCTAATATAATATTCTAACAGTTAAAAATATAGCAAATTGACTATATTTTATATCAGAAATACTCTTAATTAGAATATTCTATTTATATTTCTATATATTTAATAAGTAATAAATGTATAATATACATTTACTATTTATTATTATATTAATATATAATATATATTAAATAAGTAACAAATACATTCAATATGTAAAAAATTCTTGAAATGAAAAATAAAGACCTTGTTAAATACAAAAACAAAGAAAAAATCTAAATAAATACAAATAACAATATTTATTGTAAGATTTGAGTACATGTAGAAAAAGTTGCTTTTATAAAGTTGTTATCACATAATGTAATTATAATAAATTCAGATTTTAATATTGAATATAACTATTGTATTTATATTATTATCAGGCTTGGTCGGGAAGCGGGTGCGATCGCACTCGATGATTGACCACGGAAATTATATTTACTTGCGAAAAGCCGGCCAGATTTTTCAGGCGTTTTGAGAACATTTAAGTTTATGTATGTTTCCTTGTTTGTCCGCAAAATAATAAATTTATTATTTTATCGTAAATTTTAAATTATTTTGTTTTACGGACGTACATGGAAACTTATCTAAACTTGAATGTTGTCAAACATCTTAGTGCGGAAAAATAAATAAAGAATATTCGCGAACACAAAAAACCCGCCAAATTTACGAACAACTAATTCTATTGGTTCAATTAATAAATAACTGAAATTACTAAAGAATTCAAGCGAATGTTCTAGAGTATTCTGTTAAATTATTTTTCAAAATCGTATAATTTGAGTTTTGTTATGTTTTCGTTGAGATTTCTAGCATAAAATGTTTTAAAAATATACTATCAAACGAACAATTATTTTAATTCAATGGCTCATTCTCAGAGTCACATCTACAAAGCTATAAATGTTTTAAACTAACATTTGTTTACAAAAATAAATACTTTAAATTTATATTTTTTAACTTGTCAACGTTTTGTAAATATATTATAGATTTAATTAGTATAATCTTATTTTTTATATATAAGGGATGTATTTATATGTATGCAATGTATTAGAAATTGGTTTATTAACTTCAATTATTTTTGCTTCAGCCATTCTTACAAACTCGTTATACTTACACTTAAGTTACTTTTTTCTGTAAAATACTAGTTAAAGATATAAAGCCCACTCACTAAACATCATCAGCGATATTGTTAAGCAGTTCCGCTTCCTCTTTACAAAGTAATTTAACGTTTTTAGTTAATTTCTATCTAGCTAATTAAATTTCCACAGTAACTCAATGATTTAGTTATTTCATTTGATCATCTTACTAAGAAGAATTGTTTCAAATATGTTAAACTTTTCAAACTACGCGAAGCATAAAACAGGTACTGAAAAAACTTTTTTAATTTATAATTAAATTATGTAGCGTTAGTTTTATTGGTTTAATCTTGTTGGACTTTACAGGGCCGGGGGCTGCATTATTTTGGTGGCCTTTTTTATGTGCGACAGCGTAAAAATGATTTAAAAATACTGATAGGACCTCTTGACTATTTCTCTGCCCATAACATTGTGTGTCCCGGGACTATAGCTCTTCTACCCCCCCCCATCCCTTATTTACAGCACTGGAAATAAGACATAAGTATATAAATAAAAATTATATATAATCTTTGATAAATTGAAGAACATTTGTTTCTTTATTAAACAATCATTATTAGTACGTTGTTACTATATATAAAAAATGTCGCTTTTTTTTTAAAAAAAAAATTATAAAAGAGCGACGTTTCAAAAATATTTGCTCTATTTGTATTTATTTTGCTTGAAGTTTTTTCGCGTTAAAAACTATTTTTCTTTTTTTAACTGTCTCCCATCAGTCCAGTTTATTGCGCTTTTTGCTTGTTTTTAAAATGTTCTCAAAACGCCTAAGAAATCTGGCCGGCTTTTCGCAACTAAATATAATTTCTGTGATCAAATATTGAGTGCGATCGCACTCGCTTCCCGACCAAGCCTGTATTATAACCAAGTGATTTTATGACTATTATTATTATTACTTAGTAATATAATAATCAAGTTAGTTATCATTAGAGATATCATTATTAAGTGAAACTTTATAACCTCATAAATAATCATCATTTTATAAAAAAATTATTTCACTGCCTAGAAAATGACATTTTTAACTAAAAACATGCATTTTTACAAAAAAAAATTTATTACAATTTTTTTTTCTTCAATATTTTTTATAAAATGATGATTGTTCTTAAATTTTTTATACAATTTTGCTTCTTTTGAGAACTAACACGATATACTTTTAAAAACTTTTGTTTTGATAATTATCAGGACCTGTCTGATGTTTAAAGATCTTGAGCTACCCCTAAAAATATATATCTTTAAAATTTTTTAATTCCAGTATTATTTTATTAAATAGAATACATTTAGAGGGTGAGAGCAGGCATTAAAAAAAAAAGTTGTTTAAATGGCCACCCTACTCCTCAGTACACTAATTACCCTTTAATAGACCCTTCAGTCTCAGAGAGGTAAATGTAAAAATAAATACTGGAGCAAAATAATGTCTATTAAATCACCTTTTAAATTATTTTTGGTCTTTTAAATAACGCTTGTAGTTTATAGAAGTTTTTATATAATTTCACTTCTTTTGAGACCCAACATGATATACTTTTAAAGAACAATTTTTTTGATAATTATAGGAACCCATCTGATGTTTAAGAGTCTTGACCTACCCTAGTTTTTTCAAAATTTTTCAACATTTTTATAGAACACATTTAATGGGTGAGAGCAGGCATAAAAAAAAAAGTTGTTTTAAGGATAACCTTACGGTCTATGAAAGTTAAATAGGCTATTACTTTTTTTTTTTTTTGTATATATTTTTTTTTAATTTTTAAACTAATAACTCTAAATTGAAAATTGAAAGCTTTGAAAATACAAACAATATAATTATAATGCTATGTTAAATAAAGATACATTAACTCTACATTTTAGAAGAAATAGAAAAAAAGAAAACAAAGACAAATAAAGAAAATAATAAATAAAGAAGTAACAAAACAAGTTCATTTTTTTAATAAAATGAATTTTCCAAAAAAAAAAAAAAAAATTAGACTCTTTATAGGATGAATTGAGGATATTCCTAAAACAAGTGTGCCTCCCTAACTGCATAAAATGTTTTAAATGCAGTAATAAGTTTTCAAATTCTGGGATTTTCAGGCAATTCTACTAAATGGCAAACATTGTTTAATAGATGTTTCCATTGAAACTCCTCCTTAATTAATTGGTAGACTAAAGATACTAAGCTTGTTTGACCAGCTAGGAATCATAAAAAATCAAGTGTTACTTTAAATGATTTATAAACAATCAAAAAGGCTATTAGTAACTTCAATATTGTAAGTACAACATCATAATTTGTAATATAAAGAACTTTTGTTTCTTAGGAAAATCTAAATTTAAGTTTTCCAAAAGTAACTTGCTGTCAAGATTTTTGATTTCTTTAAACTTCTGATGATTAATACTATAAACTTCTGATGATTAATACTATAAAGTTCTGATGATTAATACTATAAACTTCTGATGATTAATACTATAAACTTCTGATGATTAATACTATAAACTTCTGATGATTAATACTATAAACTTCTGATGATTAATACTATAAACTTCTGATGATTAATACTATAAACTTCTGATGATTAATACTATAAACTTCTGATGATTAATACTATAAACTTCTGATGATTAATACTATAAACTTCTGATGATTAATACTATAAACTTCTGATGATTAATACTATAAACTTCTGATGATTAATACTAAAAACTTCTGATGATTAATACTATAAACTTCTGATGATTAATACTATAAACTTCTGATGATTAATAAACTTCTGATGATTAATACTATAAACTTCTGATGATTAATACTATAAACTTCTGATGATTAATAGCATTGAATCTAATCCTACCATATGCTTAACTTTCCTAATATAGGTTGGTTTGCAAAATCATTTGTAGAGATTTTACACCAAGAAAAGGGATAAATTGATGCAACTGAGCCTAATCCAAAAAAAAAATTGAAAGAAAGGCTATTCAATATATTATTCATACAGATATTCAGAAACCCATTACCTCCATCAATGCTTTTTTTTATCATACATTCATATAGTAGTTAGCCATATAGATAAATTTCACCATCTACCGTATGAATGATCACCCATCCCAACAAGACCATAGCAAAAAATCACCTAATGTTGATCCTATCTACTTTGTTTATCATTTTTTATTACATCAAACCATAACTGTAGCTTTGTAGAAAGTGGCACATATTCCAGCTAAACTTGATTTAACTAAATTGTGATCTATCCAAGATCACAAAAAATTTTCTGTTTTGTGATTCTGTTTCGGAGAAAGCCCTAAAATAATGCTGTTATTTGTTCTTCTTTCATTTCAGAAACAGAATTGGAACAGTAACATGCTCTTGATTATTTGTACACTTTCATAAAAGTTAAGCTTTCATAAAAGTTATTTTTAGTTGCTAAAGTAGTGTTTGATCCATCTTTAAATGTTGGAATGTTTATTTTGATCGCACCAGAAGCAATAATTTCTGCAACACAAAAAAAATTGGCTGCTGTATAAAGATTTTTTCTTGCATTTTGAAGAGTACATGTATAAAAAAATTAAAAGGGCCAGATGAATCATTTTTTCATTTTAAAGGAAAATTTGTTTGCATCTAGCTTGTTGAAGTTAAATTCATTAGAATTATAGTTTGGAAATTCTTAATGAAGAATTTCTAAACTGCTGCATTCTCTTCTAGCTGACACCATCTCTGAACCTTTTTAAAAGCACAACAAACATACTTTAGTACAATTTTAAGTGTATGATAGGGCCTTTTTAGTTAATGTGACATCAAACTTTGACACTTGATTTTCCTCTGCTAATGCAGTTAAAATTTTTGTGTAAATGCAAAAATATAAACAATCAGAAAAAAAGTTTAAAACACTTTTGATTGTAAACCAAGTAAACTACTTTATATCAAAAGAATAATTTTCAGCTTTTTTAAAGCTTTGTTAAAAATACTGAAATTTTTACTAAAGCTTTGTACATTGAGCTGATATGTTTGTATATTGAGCTGATATGTTTTTACATTGAGCTGATATGGGTTTTTAAAACTTTATCAAAAACACTAAAACAGCTATAACTTTCTTGAAAATACTAAAAGTTATAACTTTCTTGTCTGCAGCTAAGCATCTTCTAAAATTTGAAAGAAGTTGATATAAAAATCAAAAAGCAAATTCGAAAAATTGTTTAAAGAACATTTTTGGTAACTATATTTCAATGTATTTCAAGAAAAACCATATACTTTTATTTCTCTGATTAGGGAATTTTAAACGGTTATCTAGAACAAGTTATCTAGAACAAGTTATCTAGAACAAGTTATCTAGAACAAGTTATCTAGAACAAGTTATCTAGAACAAGTTATCTAGAACAAGTTATCTAGAGCAAGTTATCTAGAACAAGTTATCTAGAGCAAGTTATCTAGAGCAGTTATCAAAAATGTTATAAGGAAATATATTTAAAAATGTGAAAATTTTTAAAAGTGAAAATTTTCAAAAATAGATAGTTATAAAAAATTGATAAATAATATGAATAATAACTATAACTAAAAAGTAAAAACAAAAAATTACTTTCGCCTGAGTAGGTGTTTAAGAATTTGTGGCAGATATACTTGAGTCTAAATACATAAAAAAAAAATAACTTTAGTCCTAAACATAACATCCTATAACAATACTATGCAAGAATTACCTTAGAGACATACTAGTACCTTAGGGATAACACTAAGAGATGAATAAATATTTAAAGAAAACAAAATTCTGCTAAAAGAAAATAAAGGAAAACTGGTCTCTTAGCTGGGTGCTGGGTTACCAAGAAAAAAAAAAAAAGGAAAAAAAAAAGAAAAAGAAATTTTCTCTATTACTGTTGTTTACTTGAAAAAAATTTACCGTTTTTTCTAATGAAAAATATGGCAAGAGACTCGATCCTGCTTGAATAGGAGACATTAGTTCTTCATTGAAAACTCCAAGATTTTCACAACCAATTCCAAGTATTACAGCATCTTCAAAGAGGACAGCTATATATAAAAACAGTTAATAATTAAAATTAAAAAACTCAGCAGTCAAAATAGTTGTTAAACTAGTGATATGTTCACTATTTTATTCCTTTTTAGTTAAAAAAACTTGTTTTTAACTAGTTTTTATATATACTTTTAACTTAGGTTATTTTATTATTCTTATTTTAGTTTTAATTTTGTTTTTACCTCAGAATTGGCTCAGAATATATTTTTAAAGATATTCTTAACAAATTTTCTTAAATATAATTTATAACGAACACAAGATTCATACTAATCTCATGAAACAAAAAAAAAGGTTTAAACATGCAATCAAACAGACAATATAAACATATAAAAATATAATCAATAAATACATTATCTAAATGTTTACGCAGTTTAAAGTGAAAAAAAAAAGTTTGTAGAACTCACTTAAGTAAAAAAAAAGGTCTTAATTGTAAATCTCAATGTTTCTCCCAATAACAAGTTTGTTTCTGACAAGAGCAAACTTGACAAGAATTGTGTTTAAGAATTTTACAGAATGGTTTTACCTAGATCACCACAACTACTTATTTAACAAGTTAGAATTTGGGCATTATAATTTGAGCATACAAACCTGTATACTGGTGTCAAAATCAGCCTAGATACGCAAATAGTTCTAATGGTTATACAGCTGTCTTATTATTTAATCCATTCCTTAGTTTCTCGCCTAAAATGCATGCTCAACTAAGCCCACAGAAATAGATTAAACTAAACTGACTTTTTTTTTCTAGACTCATTAAATCTAATTCATTTTTTTTTAAATCAAAATATTCTATTCCCTACTGTTTTCAAGTTAATTTAACATTTACTATTCTTACTTTAAATTTATTTCTTAAACTTTCAAAATATAAAAACTCTCAAAGCATTCGAAGTTCTCATAACTCTTAAATAATCTCTCTAAATTCTTGAATCAATCTCTCTAAATTCTCATATCAAGGTGTCAAAACTTAACTAAATCAAATAAAAACATTACCTAAAGGATAAAGTTGCAAGTCAAAACGCAACATAATTCTTTTTGATAAAAAAACAAGTGGTCCACATGTTGGAAATAATGGTAACCATGCCTTAAAAATTAAAAAGAAATTAATAATAAAAAAAGAAAAAAAAAGTTTTTAAAATGCATATCAAATACTAACCTGCATCCCTTGTGAACCACAACCGAGCCACAGTGTTTCAGCCAGATGCTGTTTTGATGACTTGGGATTGACCATGTACCAGAAGTTTTCTACACAAGATGCCAAACACAATGGTGGTAAATAATAAATCTAAACATGTTAAATAAAAAAATTAGATAAAACTGTTTTAAAAATATTTAAAAAATTTTAAAACAAACCTTTTTTGGAGATCTTTCTAAACCTGGTTTCTCTTTTTGAAGCATCAGCAGCCTCCCAGCTACATTTGCAATCAGAGAAGGAGATTCATGACTATTTTCTTGCACATCAATAGCTTAAAGAGGTAAGAAAACTTCAATATTTTTTTATTCCATTATAAAAAACAATAAAAATAAAAAAAATTTATTTTACTACAAATATATTCTACAAACTTTATACAAATTTATATACCTTTATTATATATATAAACATTAGTATGCCAAAAAAAAAAAAAACTTTTTTGAAAAAATATATTGTGGCACCTCTTAATGAGTTCTACATAATGACAAAAATTTTTTTTTAATATTAGAAACTTGTTGTTTTTTGAGACACCCTAGATATATAGTATATATAAATATACATAGTATATATATATATATATATACATATATATATATATATATATATATATATATATATATATATATATATATATATATATATATATATATATATATATATATATATTTATATATATATATATATATATATATATATTAGGGTGTCTCAGCCGCCCCTTGTATTCTAAAAAAGATCTGTTCATTTCTTAAAACTTTCTATTGGTTCTCACAAGCAACTCTGTTAAATTTTTTTCAAATATTTATTGGATTTAGGGAGAGCACAAGACCCTTGAACACTTACCGGGTCCCTAATAATATTAAAAAAAATTTTTCTCAAAAGTATGTCATGTTGGGTCTCAAAAGAAGCGAAATTATATAAAAAATTTTCAAAATTACAATTATTTAAAAAAAAAAATTATTATTCAATTTTTTTTTGAATAATAATTTTTCTCCCTAAATCCAATAAAATTGTGAAAAAATTTAACAGAGTTGCTTGTGAGAATCAATAGAAAATTTTAAGAATATAAACAGATCTTTTTTAGAATATAAGGGGCGGTTGGAAAACCCTAATATATATATATATATATATATATATATATATATATATATATATATATATATATATATATATATATATATATATATATATATATATATATATATATATATATATATATATATATATATATATATATATATCAGGCTTGGTCAGGAAGCGGGAGCAGTTACTCTCGATTGCTGACCACGTAAATAATATTTAGTAGGGAAAAGCTGGCCAGATTTTTTAGTCATTTTGAGTACATTTAAAAAAAAAAAAAAAAAAAAAGTGCAAAAGATTAATTGGACCGATGAGAGACAATTACAAAAAAAAAAAAAAATTAGGCAAATAAAATGTATTTAAATGCGAAAAAACTTATAGCTAAATAAATTACGTTTAGAACAAATATTTTCGAAACATCGCTCTTTTATAATTTTTTTTATAAAATTAAGCGACGTTTTTTATATAAAGTAACAACTTACGATTGTTTAAAAAGGAAACAAACATTTTTTATTTAACAAAATTTGCAAGTTTTAGTTTTATTTAAGCTAAATTATTTTATAAATAAAAATATTAATTTTTTCAATACCTATTTTATGTTTCGCGTAGTTAAAAAAGTTTAACATATTTGAAGCAATTCTTCAATTAAATTAACAAGATAAAAATCAACTAAAAAGGTTAAAAATACTTTATGACGAGGAAGCAAAACTGCTTCACAATATCGCTGATGATGTTTAGTGAGTGGGCTTTTTAATTTTAATCAGTATTTAAAGCAGAAAAAAGTATAATGAGTTTTAAGAATGACAACTTAAGCGAAAATAATTAGAGTTAGTAAACCAATATATAGAAACTTTTCTTTATATCTAATTATTTGCTATATATTTGTGTTCTGTCTTGACCTCAGGCGCGATGCTTGTTCATCCGCGAATTACTTTGTATGTGTTGTTTGTGTTTAGTAATCAGAAACTTCTTATATGTTTGTTACATAATTAGTTTTATTAACTATAACGATTATAACTTCATTGAAAACGCAATTATTTTTGTAAATCTTTGTTTAAATCATAAAAATTGCTTTAAAAGATACATTATGATAAAAAACAGATGCACAAAAATACATTTACATAAAGAATACATACTTTTTAAATAAAAAATAAGAATACACTAATAGAATCTATAATTTATAATAAAATTTTAAAATTTTGACCATTTAGTATATATTTAAAATATTTATTTTTGTAAACAAATTATATATTTTTAAAACAATTTATGCTAGAAATCTCAAAACATAACAAATCGTGAATAATTCAATTTTTAAAACATTTCAACAGAATACTCTAGAACTTTATTTCGCTAAGTCAGCGTATTTTTTGAACCAATAGAATTATTCTTTCGCACAAGATGTTTTGAGAACATTCAAGTTTATTATGTTTCCATGTATGTCCATAAAACAAAAATATTTTGTTTCGTACATAAACTTAAATGTTTTCAAAACGACTAAAAAACCTGGCCAGTTTTTCGCAACTAAATATAATTTCCGTGGTCAGTATTCGAGAGCAATCGCTCCCGCTTCCTGACCAAGCCTGATATATATATATATATATATATATATATATATATATATATATATATATGTATGTATGTATAACAGTTATTAAATTGTTAACTAAACTTATGTTATCTAAATTTAAACAAACTAATTTAATATAATAAAACTTACATAAAATTTAAATTTATAAAAATTATATATAAATATAATTAAAAAAAAACTTTTGAAATTCATTTCTTTTTCACCTTCATAACAGTTTAATTTGTTCAAACTGTTTATTAAAAAGAAAAAAAGCAAACAGTTTACGCATTGTTTATTGATGACATCACAGCAGTCTACAGTACAATAAACATAGAGAAGGTGACAATCTCAATCTGTCAGAACATTTGAATAGAAACTGTGATAATATATGATAATATATAATAATATGTGATAATATCCCACCAATGGATAAAATGTCAGCAATGCATCTGCTTTGATAGTTAAACCATTATTTCAAGTTGCAATACATTTGACATTTTTACCTTAAGTTCTTGTAAAAATACTCTGTAAAAACTCTTATGTAATGTCATTAAAGATCTTAAGGAAAGAAAAAGAAATATGTCATATTTGTATTTTATAACCTTTATATTAAAAAATATATCAAAGGTAAAGATTAACCATTAATTTTTTTAAATCTTTTTTTTTGTGTGTGTGAAAAAGGGATGGTTGCTTGAGCAAGAAGTGAATATGCCAAACCCAACTTAAAATATTTGACATTATTTTAGATCAAGTATTTTTTGTTTTTTAATTAAAGTTAAATCTATTTAGTTTCCCATTAAAATAAATTTCTGCTTTTTACAAAACTAGACTATATATCTTAAAATATTAAAATTAAAATCATGTTGATTAAATGAACTAAAAATAAAATAAATTTTTTTAAGACATTAAGTAGGAGATTTATTTTGAGACTAAATAATTTTTGTTATCCAGTTAATGAGTGACTAATATTTATACTTAAATGCAGCCAAGATTTAATAGTTCCTTGCAGTTCTCATGTTTGAAAGCTTCACTTATCAGAATGTGTTGGATTGTGGGCGTCACTTCACTGAATAATCCTGAAATCAATCATTACTCTATTGGTATCAAGAATAGGTGCGATGATCTTGTATACACAACCAATCCTTACTTTTTGAATAAAAATAGGCTATTATATATCATTAATATGAGTTTTAAAATAAAATTCTTTTGCGATATCTTATTTTAAAAAAAGTCGAGGGAAGTATAAACTGATTAAAAATTAGCAACAAGATCAAAAAAATTTAAAAGAAATGAGGCATAAGAGATTCAGTAAAACCTTATAGGTACATACCTTGATGAGGATTTATGCATTAGGCAAATTGAATATATATATATATACACAAAAATAAAGTGATAGAAGTAAAAAAAAAATTATTGAATAAAATGTAACTATTATTACTTAAATGAACAAATGAATTGATATTTGTCTTTACTTCCAAACAATAAACTAAAAAGTTTTAGAACAAAAACTTCTATTACCAAAAGATCCACCATACAGAAACAGTAAATTGTCTGTGTAATACAAAATAAAATGTACAAACATTTCTGCTAGCTTGTGAAGCCATTCATACCATAATAGCAATAGTTTTATATGCAATATAATGAAAATAAGTAACAATATTTTTGATTAAAAACATTAACAAACTTTATACATACATTGTTGCTCATTTTTGAGGCAAGTCAATCCTAATGAAGTTACAGTAATAGGATGAACAACATATTCTATTAGTGATGTTTCAGAAACTTTTGTGGCTGACACTCCTGTTACTAAAAAAAAGTAATAGAACTAAATAACTTCGTAATATATATATATATATATATATATATATATATATATATATATATATATATATATATATATATATATATATATATATATATATATATATTATAATTATAAAAAATCCATTAAATCAAAACGAAAAAAGAAAGGAAAAAAATCTAAATATCAAAATGATATTAGGAACTTATACAACTTTTTTTAACCAAACTCTAATGAAAGTCTATATACTGACAAATTTTGGTTTAATTGATTGGATGGTTACCAAACTTGCTTTGATTTGTTACAAAACTTGTAACAATTCAAATCATTTAATCAGTTGGATGATTTTAAAAAGTTTATCTTAACTATAGCCAAAAAAACGTATATAGTTGATTATTATATAGACGTATATAGTTGATAATGAAACTTTTACAATATCCACTATACATTAATGATCAAAACTTAAAATAAAAAGAACTGAAAAGAGATTTTAGTAATCTTCTCCAACAATCTGTAATGGAAAAAGAAAAGCAAACCAAATGCTAGATTAAAAATTTGATCAAAATACACTGGATTGCTGAAATCACATTATGTAATATTAATGCAAACATCACTAGAATTTGCAGCCCATATTTAAAAGAAAGATGTTGATTTATTGAAAGAAGTTTAACATCATGCAACTCAACTACAATACAATACCACCATTAAAGAAAATTAATGATGAGAACCATCTAAAACCTTTAAACTTGACTTGATCTTAACTGAAAGAAGACAAAAAAAAGCCATGATTAAACTTTTCAAAAGGAAGATATGATTAAACTTTTCAAAATCCTAAACAGTAAACAACAAAATTAGAAATTAAAAAAATTTAAATATTTACTCAAGTCAAACATAAGGTTACTGCTTCAAATATTTCAAAGAAATGACTTAACAAATTTTTCTTTTTTCTTTTCACCATACAAACCTTTTCTTCAACAGACCAGTCAATATATAGAACAGCATGACAAGAAAAGTGTATTAAAATACAAAATATCTAACAGCTTTAAAACAGAACTTGAGTGATGAATAAGCAGCAATCAATCAGCTGTCATAGTGTTAATACCATACTAATACCATTAATAGCAACTAATAATATCAACTTTAAGGACTTATTACATAAATAAATAAAAAATTAGATCACAATAAGTACTTTACAAAAAAAAATTTCACAATCCTCAAAGATAAAAACAGTATATCTTAAAGGTTATCAAGTTAAAAATGAAATCATGTAAGCTATTTCACAATTTTATTCTTGAAAATAACATTATAAATCTTTTTGTTGACTTCTAATAAAAATTCATAAGGAAAAACTACAGTTAATATTTTCTTTTGAACTGTTTTTAATTAAAGCTGATTAGGTTAAAAAGACATTTCGTTAAAAATTAAAAAAAATTCCGACTATTTAACAGTATTTTTACTTTTATTTAATAATTTGGCTAATTATCAAAAATAATTTTAAATAAATAAAATTCTCCTAACAGCTGAACTTTTGCTTTAATTTCTAGATTTAAAATTTTACTTTATTTATCTTCACCATTTAAAACAATAACAATCACAACTGACATTAAACATACTGATGACTTATTATCTTTAAAATAAATAAGTATCTAGCATGAACATAAAGAAATATTTTTCATTTAAAAAATGAAACAAAACTTATTTTGGTATTTAGTTTTATTAATTATTATTTTATTAGTTATTTACTTCTAAAACTACTTGTTGTTAGTATGAAGTCTTTCATTACATTTTGGTAAAAAAAATATATATATATATATATAAAATATAAAAATATATATTTAGAACATAAAAAAAAGTTTTAATGTAACTTATTTTTGTAATGTTCTTTAAAATAAAACAATATTTTTTTATTTTTCAAAAAAGTCTCTTTAAATTTACGTAAACTAAAAAAAGGTTTAGTCACACATACCATTATTATCACTGTTTGTAGTAGAAAGCTCATAAAATTTGACAGTGCAATCAGAACAGTAGACAAGCAAAGTATTATTGTACATATTAATAAGAAATATTGGAGAGGTGACCGTGTATCGAACACAATGAACCAAGTCAAGGTTTGAGCTTTGATTATGTATACGAATCTAACATGAGTTTGCTTCAGATTAATTTTTTTTTAAATCAATTATTTCAAAAAATTTAATTTGCTTATACTAACTAATATAACATATTACTAACAAAAAAAAAACTAAAAAATAATATAAAAAGTATGATATAATGTTGTAAAAATTATGTTACAAATAAATATAAAAATTACAACATAACTTAGTTATTATAATAACTTATTAAAATCATGTTCACCACATCAATTAAAACACATTTAATAAATAACATACTTCATCTACAGAGTCATAGAAGTTAAAGCATCCTACAACAAGGAAATTGTTCCACCAAGCCATACCTCCACGACAAGTAATATTATGTTCCTAAATAATTGAGGAAAAGGCATTAAAAAAAAAAAGATTTAAACATTTTTTTCTCTTCAACACTACAATTTTTTAATAAAAACAAAAAAACAAAAATGTTTTATAATCTATTAGAGCCTAAGATTAAAGAATAAATATGGCATTTCTGTATACTTTCGATAGCTTTACGTGTCAACTTTAACTTTTAAGAAAAAGGAAAATAATGAATATAACTACTTTTATTTTTTAGTTATTTTTTTTCTTACAAAAGTACGTACCACCTACTAAACCTTCAGTCAATGTACTGAAGCAGGCGCTAATGGAAACTATTGCCTTTAAAATCTAAATGCTTCAGGAAAAAATAAAGGTAGTTTAGTCATGTAAAGCATATTGATACAGACAACTGGGGATCAGTATGTAGAGAGATAACAGTTTCAGCTAAAAAAGGTAGAGGCAGAACAGGAAAATCTAAAAAAAACCTTAAGTGAATGCATTATAGACATGAATGACAAGATTATGTTTGAGAAACAGTATTATGAAAAGACTACAACCTTTAAAAGCCCTAACAGACTAAAAGATGATGATGATGATAATGATGATGATGATAATGATGATGATGATGATGATGATGATGATGATGATGATGATGATGATGATGATGATGATGATGATGATGATGATGATGATGATGATGATGATGATGGTGACAATGGTGATGGTGATGAGGAGAGGAGGCAGAAAAAGAAGAAGAAGTGGAGGGACAAAAACAACACTGAGCTTTCTTATAAATTCTTAAAGAAAACTTAAATATTCAGATATTAGGCTAATAATTAGGCAGGGCATAACTAAAAAATGTCAATCTTAAAATCATCTTCTGACATTCCAATCTCAATCTTATAACTTAAAAAAGTGTAAACTTTGTTTTGATGAATAAAAATATTTAACAATTGCATTTAACCATGATGATAATTAAAATATTTTCATTATATATAGAAAACTCAAATGTTACACTTTAAAACAATTTGTTAGTCAAACCAGCTCTCATCTGATCACTGATATTAAATCTTTATGTTTTGCTAACTTTGTATTTTTGTGTTTTTTAAATAATATGATCAAATGATAAACTTGAAACTCGAAGTTCTATAAAAAGTTTGATATTTTGAACTTAAATAATTTTAATACATACATCATAGATCATCCTAATCATATTTTAAAAATTCGGAAAATTGCTTGAATAAATTTTCTGGAAAAAATCCGGTATTTGTTTTCCCTTATTTTCTTTTTAATTTCGCTTTTAGCTAAATTTTTTTTTGACACTTTTCATAATTTTTCTATGAGTGATGAGTAAAAAAGCTTAAGAACAAATATATTACAAAAATATATACCTCAACTTACATGTATTGAAAATGTTTTGGATAAAAAAAAAACTAAAAGTTGAAATAAATATCTGATATTCCGGAAATATCCAAAAAAAGATAATCCCTAATATATGTATATATCAATAGATATATACATATAAATGTGGGGCAATCATTCTGCATCTACTCTAAATCTATTCTACAGGCTGCCACCATTGCATATAATAACAATACTACTAAAAATAACATAGCTGCATATTACTGATGACACCAACAAAATTAACAATCTGTGGAAGTTTACAGCATTAGGGAAAACAAATTGTTAAATTATAAATGCACTCAAAAACATTGAAAAACTAAATTTTGCTAAAAATTAAAATCATAACTAAAGAATCCAATAATAATTGGCCTAATTATAATTGGAGGTTTTGGTTAGAGTTGAATAATTTACACTTGAATATATTACAATCTATAACCAATATAAATTCAATAGGTCAAAAAAAAAACAAAAAAAACAAACACAATACTTGAGTTTCATTTCCAAATAATTTCCATTTTCTTCTTCCAAGTGAAAAGTGTGCATAGCCATGTGTCCCAGCTACTGCAATGTATTTTGCTCTACCATCAACTACAACATACTAAAAAAAAAAGTAGATAAAAGTAGTAAACACAATAATTTCCCCTCCCCCCCCCCCCTCCTTGTCTAATTTAAGTTTTGTGAAAGTACTCTGCAACAGCATTTATTAAATGTTTGTAATAATGAAATCCTGCATTTAACAGATATAACTAAACTGAATAAACTGGTGAATTAAAAATAATAATAATAATAATTAGTAATAGTAGTTTAAAAAAAGTAAAAAATAATTACTCTGATAGGTGCATTAGATGCTAAATAACTCTGTGGTAACTGAAATGTTTGCCAATGCTTATTTCCAAAATGCATAGTACGAGAAGTAGAACATTTTGAATCAAATATACTACTTTCATTCGATTGAAGCATGGCATCACCAAGATTTAAATAAACGCTATCTTTACCTTGCAGAATTAAATGTTGACGATTCGACTGAAAGGAATTTTTATTATATATTGTATACAATAACTGGTACCAAAGTTGGTAAATAATAACTGGTACCAAAGTTGGTAAATGTTGTATTTATTAGCTTAATAATATAAATTTAAACCATCGTACCATGCAAGGATTAACAGAAACAGCACTTTTAACAAACTTAAGTTCCATGATGTCACCGGCCATAAACTGATCATTTTTGTTATTATAGTGCTCTGGAATAAGTAGAAGCTCATAACCTTCAGTACCCCAGTCCTAAAACAAAAATAAACAAGTAAAGTTCAAATTTTCTATAACCTCCCAATCTTTCCCCTAACTTGATACTTTTATTCCTGTTTATACATAAAAATGACATGCAAGCTGAACGAGATGCAAATTTTTTTTTAATAACAATTGTTTCTTTTTTTAAGCAATAAATTTGTTAGGTGTCAAGAAACAACAAAAACACAAGCTGTTTGCATTTTGATTTTTTCTTCCATTAACTAAATATATTTTTAAATTTTGGAATTGCAAAAGGAAAAAAAACAAAACAAATTATTCAGTTAAAAATGTTTTACCACTATTTTTTAATGTCATTAAAATCAAAAAACTATGAGTAAATAATAATGATTTTTTATTTATAAAATTGTGTAAGTTTACTATTTAACTGTAACTTTCTATAAGAATCAGACAAAAACACAATGTTTTGAAAACTCCTATAAAATCGATATGTTGTTATTCCTACTAAAACCATTATTCCAAATTTTATTTTGATTTTTTAGATACTGGACATAAAAATTTGACAAATTTTTAGGAATATTGATCAAACGGTGTCAAAAACATTTTTAAACTTGAAAATAGAACAAACTTTATACTTTTCAATGGGTAGGGGGGAAGGGAACTAGTTGTCTCTGTTTTTACTTTTCGAGGTCCTCTAGCCCCATTAGCAAAAATTTTTATTAATATTAAAGCGCAGTTTTAAAGAGTATGAATTTAGGTAACATTTTTAACTTCCATTCAATATAAAAAAATAATTAATTATAAATAAATTTCTTGGGGCCCTTCTGGGGCCTCAAAAAAAAAAAAGCTAGCCAACTCAGGGTTCCCACTATTAAAACTAAGGCTAAAATTAAGGATTTTAAGGAGATTTAAGGAGATATTTTCCTAATAGTTAAGGAGATTTGGTCGCAAACGACATTTTTTTGAAAGAAAAAGTAAGGATAATTAAGGAGAAAACGATTACATTAAAAACATAATCTTATTTTTTTCAATAAATTTTAAATATAAACAGAGAAATTATTTTTACTTTATATATATATATATATATATATATATATATATATATATATATATATATATATATATATATATATATATATATATATATATATATATATATATAAATATTAATATATATATATATATATATATATAATAACAAAAATAGGTTTGAAAACTATCAAAAATCTATATATTATCTTCTTTATTAACAAGTATAATCCATTCACTTTAAAAAGTTTTTCTAGATAAATAAAAAAAAAAATGAGGAGAAATTAAGGAGAGCAGTCAAATTTTAACTTTTTTAAAGGTTATTTAAGGACATTTAAGGAGGTTTTTATTTTTTAAGGATATTTAAGGTTTTTAAGGTGGTGTGGAACCCTGTAACTTATCCCACCTTAGGGTAAGTTGGCGCAAACTATAAAAATTATATTTAATAATAATGCACTATTAAGTGCAAAATGAAATTTTTTTACTATTTATTTATAACAACAATTATAAGCCAAAAACTTAATGACTTTTAGCTAGTACTAAATATTATTTTATATAACAACCAAAACAGTAGCCCACTTTTTATTTGTTAAAAAACAACCTTAAATTTTTTTTTTCTATTCTGTAAAAAATAAACTTTTTCAATATTGTTAAAAATTAAAAATAAAAAAAAATTAATTTTATAAATTATTTTTTTCCTAAGTAAATGCTATGAGCCAACTTATGGTGTTAAATTTTTGCCAAATTACCCCCAGAAAAGCCTTTTTTTCAATAAACTGTTTATAGATCTTGAAAAATGGCAACTATTGAAAAAAGTAGTAAAACAATTGTGACTGAAATTTTTACAATAATTTTTTGATACAACTATTTTCTTTGTAAAGTAAAAAGGAAGCAATTTTTCAAAAGTTATGTTTTTGTCCAAAAAACACATAAATCACAATATCTCCCATGCACATGCGCAAACCCTATTAATACTATAGTGAATGATGAAATGGTCAATTAGAAAGATTCTACGTAATTTTGCCAACTAGCTCAAGTCTCCCCTATTTTACTTGATATAAATCTTTCGAGAATAATGAGAAAATAAAAGTAGTTATATTCATTATTTTTCTTTTTCTTAAAAGTTAAATTTGGCACCTAAACTATCAATAAATAACTAAAAAATGTAAAAAAAAAAAAAATCCATACATACCCCCCTCCCCTTCATTATCTCCATCCTTTTACAGTGGGACATTTATGAACAGCTTCTTAAAATTATCTTTCATGTGGGTATTTAATTTTATTCTATTTTTAGTTCTAAATTAGCCAATAAACACCAATAAAAACCAAGTGAAATCGAAAGTATATAGCTTGTCCTTTTTTTGGTCAATATTCCTAAAAAATTTTCCTAAAGTCCAATATCTAGAATGTTTATAGTCCAATATTTAGAGAACCTAAAAATATTAAAAATTTTTTTTTAGAAATTTACCTTCTAGTATAAATAGCATTAACATACAAAAAATTTGAGGAGAGTCACTCTGTGCTTTGCCTGATTCTTACTGAAAGTTGCTCTTAAATTTGAAAATTGTGAATATATTTTGCTGATAACTAGTTTTTTATGTCATAAAATAAACATTATCTAACAGAAAATAAAACAACATTACTTTCAGCTTTTATCTTGGTTTAATGGATTCTCAAGATTTTAGAAAACTAAATTGTCTTTGAAATATATATTTTTTTGAAATATATTTGAAATATATATTAAATAATATTAATATAAATTAAATATATATTAAAATATATACTTTGAAATATATATTAAATATATATATTTTTATCTTTACTTAATGTTTAACAAATAATACTTAATAAAATTCAATATGTTTTCATGAAAAAAATAACATTCAAATAAGAATCTTTTCTTCAGTGAATTACACATTTTATTCTTTATTGAACAATAGTTGACTTAAAAAGTATATTTTTTTGACTTTTTAAAATAGAGAATCATTAAAATATTTCACTAAATCTTATACTTCTTTTTAGGTTATTAAACATGAGCTTAGTTAAAAAAAGTCTTTGAGGGTTTATGGACTTTTGCATATGCCTCCCTAGTAGAGGCTAATGAGGGTACAGCTATATTACTTACAGCTATATTACTCTGTAATAGCTGTTAAAGAGGCTGATTTCATCAACAACTGTACAATACCAAGGTATTAACAGTGCTATGTTAGGGATGGATGGTGTTTCTGTTAGTGCTTTTGGTGTAGCTTGTTGAGACCACATAAAGGGCTTTTTGTTTTTGTTCTTTTAATGATTGCATATTGCTAAGGGTGTTCTTTTTATGATTGTATATTGCTAAGGGTGTTCTTTTTATGATTGCATATTGCTACGGGTGTTCTTTTTATGATTGCATATTGGTAAGGGTGTTCTTTTTATGATTGTAATATCTGTGATTGAGTCAAATTTTCTAGTGCTGGTTACACCTACTAAAATAAATGGTTGGTTATAGTTACACAAAAAAAAGTGGCTGAAATACAATAGGTGCAATCCAAGTACTTAGCACCAAAATTACCTATTCATAATAAAAAGTTTAAAAAAAAAACAACCAATAAATAAAAAATAAAAAATTAAGAAATACCATATCTGCAAGATTCAATGCATGACAAAATATGTCACTAAAAATGACACAAAAAAAAATTTAAAACTTAAAAAAAAAAAAGTTAAACTTAAGATATATCAAGTATCATTACCCTTGCTCAGCATGTTGCACACACATTAGTAAGGCACCAAAAACACTCCACACTGCAACCCCATGTTTTGACCAAATGGTAGCAAGGGCACTACCATCAGGTGTCCATCGCATTTCAACAATACTTCCAGCACTAGCACCTTTATCTAAATATAAAATCAAACAATTGAATAAAATTAATCTATTTTTTTAAATTAATTTAATTTTTAAACAAAAAAAAAAAAGCAAAAAAAATACCAGGATAATCTTTTTTTGATAGTACATAGCTGTGAGATACCACAAGTCCTCCTGTAAGATCATCAAAACAATAAGCTGTTGCTTGGCCACTGCAATAAATAAAAAGATTGACCAATATTGCATTAAAATTAGGAAAACAGTTTGTTTTCAAATGCAAAATAAATTCCTTCAAAATAGTTTAAGACTAAAGTTGTTTTGTAGATAATATGGGAAAAAAGATTGTTTTACTATGTTGCATAAACAAGTTTTTTCAGACACATATGGTTGTACACCTTATATGACCACTCATATATTATTTTGTTTTGACAACTTGGCCACAACTCCAAGCATGTTTTAAGTTAGAAATGCGCTGAATGCGCAACGATCCAATATAAACTGGAATAAGAAATAAGAAAAAAAAAAAGAAAAAAATTAAAAAGAAAAAATTTTAACAAATGATAAAATGAATAAAAAATAAACCAGAAAAAATAAAAGCATAAAATTAATATATGTTTTTATTTTAATTTAAAAGTGTTTCACTACAAAGAATTAAAAAAAAATTTAAGTTTCAAAGTTATTTTAATCCAAACTTAATTACTTTGAAACTTAATCATTTAAAAATTTGAAACTTTGATATTTTCTAATGTCTACAAAGCAATTAAAATTAGAAACAAAATAGACTATTAGTAGATTTTAAATTCAATTAATTAAGTTTGAACTATTAATTGAGACGCTTCAAATTAAAAAAATTTTTCTTTTTTTAATTTGAAATTCACTTTTCTCTTTTCTTGTTTATGTACTGTTTATTTTTAATTTTCTCAATCTTAACTTTCTAGTTTGGTTTTTTCAGCATATTTTTTAAAACACACAAATTATCAATATATGCAAAAAACTGTGGCCAAGTTGTCAAAAAAAAAATTGTACGCGTGGTCATTAGACACCAGGGATTTTGAACTTTTAGAAAAATCAATTGCTTCAAGTAGGAGTATCTTTATTAGACTATAAAACTATAATGTGGAAAATTTTAAAGTTGCAAGTCTTCTTGATTCTATCTTAATTTAATTTTTTTTTACATTTTTTACATTTTTTTACATAATCTTTTTACATATATATCTTTATGAAACATAAACTAGAGTAAGAGTAAAATTAATAAATCCTTAAATATTTTCATATATAATGAAACGTAAATAATTTATTATTTAGGTTTATGATTTTTTAGACATGTTTGGGTCCTGCAAAAATGGGTAGTTTTACATAAAAGCCATATAATTAGATAAATTTATGTACTAAATCATTTATAAAAAATCATTATTTTAAATGTTGCAACTTATTAGATAGACATTTGGGTTTAATAATTTAGTTCACAAAAAAAATTTCAGATATTTTTGTTTTTAAGTTAAAAAAAAAAAAACATTCATCTTTTTAGCTTGCAAACTTTAAGTTAATGTAGAAAAAATAAATAAACTGCTGGAATGTGTTAGCTTTGTTTATATTTACTTATTTTTAATGACACAATTTTTTGTAATTCTACAAAAAATGACATTTATTTAGCTGTTTATTAATGTTGATTTTTCAAACTTATTGTTTATATAAGATAGCTAGAAGTTAACTTTAAACTTTTTTATTTTTGAGTCAACTCTTATTTTCTTATGAACTATCTACTCCAGCTTGTAACAACTTAATACCAAAAATTGCTGGTACCTAGTGGTATATAAGGCATGCGGCCAGATAACAACCTTCTAGATAACAAAATAGTTCTATCCTTTGATTTATTCATCATGCTTAGAATCTTGACCTCCCAAACAAAAAACAAAAAATGTTAACAATATTATTTAGAAATTCTTATACATTTCTCTTGATGCTGTTTTTTTTAAATACACAATAGGGTGTGTTGATTTTTTTTTTTTTTTCAATTTCAAAATCAGCAGGATTACTATTGGTGAAGAATTTTATGGTGGTTCTGAAACTGGAAAAAAAAAACTTTAAAAAAATAATGTCTTGCTGGGTGAGTCAGCGTTGTTTTAAACGAAAAAATGACTAAAATATGACTAATTAACAGGGGGAATCTACAATTTAAAAATAAACTTTTTTTAATTTTTGATTAACTCAATAATTGTTATGTTGAGTTTTAAAAAAATTGAATATTTGGTTTCCAAAAGTTATAAAAATAAAAACAGAAAAGGAGTTTTTGTCTAGGGTATTTTTACAAAAATCAAGCACTTTTTCATATTTTAGACCAAGAATGTTATGGTAAAGTGTGTTGTTTTTTTCCTGTTTTTATCAAACATTAAAATTATTGGGAGTTCATTTTTGTGAGGAATTTTATGGGGAATCTGAATCTGGAAAAAAAGAAAGAAGAAAAGATGTCTTGTTGAGGGGAACAAGTCATCTTGTTCATCATGTTGAGGGGATTGCTTAGTTTTCAACAAGAAAGTGACTAAAATATGAATATTTAAAGAGAAAAAATTATCAAATTAAAAAAAAACTTTTTTAAATATTTGATAAACTCAATATAAACTATGTTGAGCTTTATGAAAATGTTATATTTGATAAAGAAGTCAAAAAAATAACTACACTCAGAGGTTTTTGTGTACGTTGTTTTTAGAAAAAATTTTCAATATTTTCGTGTTTTAGACATATTTTATGTTAACGAATGGAGCACAGACTTTTTTCTACTTTTTATTAAGTTTTAAAAATAAGGGAAATTTATTTTTTTGAAAAATTTCATGATGAATCCAAATACTCAAATAAAAACTAGATCTGAAAATGGCTAACTTGGAGGACTCAAATTTTTATAGAAATGACTTCAATAAGATTTATAAGGAGGAAGAATTACTAATTAAATTAAATTATACTAAATTACTAATATAATATAATTTAATAATATAAAGAATTAAAATATATGTATACACATATATTTATGTATACACACATACATATATCTTTACAGATGGAAAAACACTTTTCAAACAATAAATGGTCTAGTGAATTAGGAAAACTGCTGGATACGGTAACAGATCTAGATGCAAACAAAAACTTTGAAAAAGTAACTTTAGGTAAACCACTTATTGTTTTTCCAATTTGCCACGGATACAGAATTGTAACAGCGATAAGAACTGGAGTGATACCTGGAAATTTAATAAACATTGAAAGGTCCTTTTTCTCACTTCAGATGGCTCACCACAGCCAACCGTTTTTGTAGATTGTGGGTTTCAATTAATTTTCTAACAGAAAATTTTTTTAGAAATCTACGTTTAATTATTTAATTTATAGTTGGTGTGTAAAATGTCAAAAAAAAGAGGTTGTTGCAATAGTAATAAAAACTGTAAAGAGATCTGCATGGTTTGCATTTAGTGAATGCGTTATTCAGACTTTTTTGAGTTCCAAAGATGAAGAGGAATGAAAGTTAAGAGTGCAAAAGGTGCTAGAAATTAGAACAGAAGGAGATAATAATACTCAGTTCAGAGATAATTTCGTAAGAATTCGCGAAACCCCATGCATAAATACTAATGCTGATAAACTGACCAATCGAATTGAGAAAAAAAATTCAATATACAAACCACTACTTACCACAAGCCTCACAACCCACAAAGTCAGAAAATATTTTCACAAGACTATAGTTGTTCCTGATTGGCCTTGCCATTCCCAATCCATTGAACATTGTGTTAAGCAGGGTTTTTTTTTATACAATTACAAGAATAAAATAACTTATTAAAATTAACTTATTAAAATAACTTATAAAAATTATTTTAATAATTAAATTGCTCTTAATGTTTAATATAGGTTACAGAGGCTTGTGCAAAAACATATTCTCTTGAGAAGCAAAAAGAATATATAAGAGCACAAAAAATCAGTAGGGGTTTTATGAGCAAAAACAATGCTAAATATAAATTAGTTGGACTCTTTATAAACTTATTAGTGTATAAATTATATAAACAATCAATAGTTAATATAATTTATAAAATATTAATTGTTAATTATATGTAAATTTTAATAAAGATATCAGTATTATGTAATATATATTATAAAATGTATTAGTATATAATATACTAACCTTTAAACTTATCACAGACTTGTAGTGCACATTAAAGATTTGCAGTAAATCTTTAACAGAGTCATTAACGAATGAATTCAGTCATCCGTTTCAGTCATCCAATTCAGTCATTTGTTAACGAATGAATTTAGTCATCCTAGAGAAACTGGTTAATCCATTGTTAAACATTAACATCCTAATAACTCCAGCTTGTATTTATTACATTTTATTAGGATGTCAAATTTAGACATTTAATATTCAAAGAACTCCAACTTGTCCTACAATTTGTGGTCTGGACAATATTCCTGTCAAAGTCTTACAAAAGTGTTATCCAGGACTCTCTAATTTATTATTTAGTTTTAAACTATATATCTATTTAGTATTAAACAAGTACTTAAGTAAATCTTTTTTTCCTGCCAGTCAGAAAATGGCATTAGTGGATACTATTTTAAAAACTACTCTGACTTTTTTTAATGTCAAACCAGTCTTATTACTTTTATTAACAGTTTTATGTGTTTTAATGAATGATTACTTCATTTCAGGTGATTATTTTATTTCAGGTGGATCTTATGATGGTTCAGTTAGAACAATAAAAATTTTATAGTCTGAGTTACTTAACAGTATAATACTTTATTATAGGTATAATGCTAACATTTTGGACCTTGTTTTAAAAAAAAAAACTTTTTACTTGTTAACAACATCAAAATTGCCAACTCTAACTGATTTTAACTTTAAAAAGAACTGAAAGATAGGTATCTACAATTAAAAGAACCATAGAATATCTTGCATAAATTAAAAAAACGAAAAGAGATGATTATAGGATATTGGCTAAGTTAGTTTCATTAAAGTTTTTCTTTTTCAACATCAATAATATGTAAGCATTTACATATACATTTTATTGTTTGTTTTTTTTCAGGTTTTGAATTGCCTTCAGACACTACTTGAATACCAATATTTTACCCACACAGCAAAGGTGTAACAGCAGAGCAATTTATGCTGTACTGGGCTACTTTTAAATTCCTGAAGAAATAAATAGCTAAGTTTGTTAGTTGTTCCTGGTCAAATGCAAATTTTAAA